TTGTAAAGCAGTAATGGCGAAAAACTTATAATAGCTATATAGCTATTATAGTTATTCGCTATTACTGTTTATATAAATATATTATTATTAAGTAACATTTTCCTAATAAACCTCGAGGAGGAGGAGAAGCTAATTTAACGTTAGCAGTAAACTACGATTATATCTATCTTGTGTGTTTGTAGTGTATGTACAGCTTTGTTTGCTGAACTTAAACTTTACAAAGCCTGAAATATCAGGTTATTATCAATTCTTTTATAGATATTATAGTTGATATAGGAGCATAGTTTATCGCGAGATACTATAAGCAGTGTAAGAAAATTGGTACAATCATTTTTAAATTACACATCCATTAAATTGCTTTTGTTTATTTAGCTATACCGTACCATTGGACTACATGTTTGTCTAACATTTCTTATTCGCCACTTAAGAGCCCTCATTAGACATTCAATCCCGCTAGTGCTCGTAAATGAGCCGTGAGCAGAAAACGGCTGTAGCCTAGTAGTCGTGACCTACATCGTTGCCACCAGGAAAGTATGGCGTAAAATGTCCCGCGGCATATTGTGGCGCCGAATTTATTGTGAGCTAAAATCACCAACGCCCAACCTAATTTTATAAGCATTTATCGCACTCTCTGGCTGGTGAAAATGTTAAAGGTAATTCATTTTTTTTGTGTAAAAAATTTGTGATTAATATTCTAAAACCAACAATTTTGCTACATATCACTAGATCGCAATACCCTTCCATATCTAAGATAGGGTGTTATGAAATTATTTATGGTTATTTAGTTTAAATTAAAATTTGAAATAGGTTATTCTCTATATTAGTAGAGCATTAGTAGAGCTTAGTCATATTGCCATCTTAAATGTGTTTTTTGATAATTTATTTACAGGGTATGAATGTTAGATACTTACCTACATAAATATTATCCGGATTCACTTGGGCACTATAAATTTCGTGAATGTTTTACTACAAATGGGAATAAACCAGCACAGTTGCACTAAAAGTAGCTAAAAATAAAACGAACAAAAATAACGGTCACCAAGAGGACCTTTGCACAAATGTCAAGTAATTCAAAGATTATAGCTTACTATTTGTACTGTTCTTGTTTAAATTATACTATTTCTACATAAAAAAATATTTAATAGATCTTATAATGTTGATAATAGATCTTATATTGTTTCTAAATACTGCAGCTTTATTATTAAACACCTATTTTTTAAATTACTTCTATTTATTGTTCATTATCTAAATATCGTCGCTATTACCATATGTAATTCTAGAAAATAATTTTATCATGTTTCAGTATTCTTAAACGTTCACATAACTTTTTATTTCCCTACTAAAATATTTTTTTGACTGGGATCAAATATAACTTTAATAACATTTAACAAGCTACAGGTAGAAAGCAATGTTGAAAGCGATCTGATCAGACGTTATTCGATAAGCTGGTATTGTTGAAAGCGTAGACCCAGAGGCTCCAATCGTGACCCTTGTCAACTTTGACACAAGCTATAGCTGTTTTGTGAAAAGTTCCCCATGGAGTTTATTTCACGTAAACATTAAAGTTAAAGCCTTTTCCACTCGACTTAATTTTAGTTTCTGTTGCGGACAAGAAGTAAATCGAACATCTATTTCTAACCAATTTATTGTATAGTAAGGTGTTGTGTGCTCTATAGATACAAACTTTACGTAGCCTATAATTTGAAGTCCATTACTTTCAGGAGAAGGGTGGAAAAATGTGTTGCTTAATGAAGGCTAAATTGAGTGTCTTCATTGTTGATGTCTTGACGTGTGTTTACCCTCTTCCCATTTCGCAATTCGTTGCTCACAACGCAACCAACCGACTGAATTTTGGGATGCGTCCTTTTCAAACTTTCTGGACTTGAGGTTGTTAACCTTTGCTATTTTTTTTCTTGGTTGATCAATACAAAAATATTGTACTCTTGCAAAAGTGCACAAACTGATTTATATATATATGATAATAATAATACAATAGTTATATTTTTTTACTAGTATATAAATAGTCGATCTCTTTCTACATTTTGATACTTATGAAACCGCAGCCGCAAGGTCGCCAAGTCATGCTATTTATTTCCGGAATCGGATATGCACGCCCTTGCATTTACTTCTTGTTATATATAAATAGTATTACTTCGTTATTATTAGTTCATAAAACTGTATATAATATATTGCTGCACACTAAACACACAGGAAACAAAATACTATTTTGTATAGATGTGCCTTTCTTCTGTACTATAATGAAATCCTAAAACTCTTCGCTTATAATATAATTGGACTTACTAGTATAATTTTAGACAAAATTATTATTGCTCCAAAGAAAGTAACAAACGTACAGACCCGAGCGACGATATTCGTTGTCGACACCGCAATAACGCAGTCAAAAGAGTCGTTTTGTCGAGTCGAGAGCAAATCTACGTTTTATTACGGACGCCAACTTCGGGCTAATGTCGTGATTGCTGTGTTGATGAAAATGATAACTCCGTAGCAAGACTAGGACGAATCACATTACCCCGAGCCCGAGAATATTAAAAATAAACCTGATTAACAGTAGTTGGTACGAAAGGATAGGCCTGCTCTGGAAAGTAAATCATACATGAAATTATAGAATGAAATTGAAATATTGATACGTCTTTTTTGTGCTCCATTCTTTAAAGAGAAAACAATAGGTAGTGTATTGTTCTCAACATTTTATAAGAGGAGTCTTATCGCAGCCGGTCGATGCACGTGCTCAGCAGCTTCTCTGTTCTAATCCCACGATAATCTAACCCGGAAAAAACCAATAACCATTGTTTTGCTACGTTATTTACACTGCATTCATACTATGTTTGCACGGATTATCGCCCGTATGTGCACAGTTCTGTTAATATTTTAAGATCGTGGATTCCATTCCAATACTTTAGTATTTTACAAACTTTTCCATTCGCCAGCAGTCTTACAGATTTTATACAGTTATAAAGCAATGAACGGTGTGTAATATTTGTAGTATCTCGAAATAGAAATGTTATAAGTTTATTAAAAGTAGTTCTATGTCACGTGAACCTTTTTTAATATAGAGCTATTGATTTTAATATAGAGCTTTTAGGGATATTCTACCAAGTGCAACAGCTGCATCTGTACAGTAAACAAATGAACATTGCATTCGAAAGTTACTCCGTGCTATTTGCTTCGAATTGAGTTCTGTTCTGAATTAACAGCCACATAACGCTTAAAGAGGCTTAATGTTGGAAAACCAACTTAAGTGAATGCTTTTAGAGCACCGAAAATATTATGTGGATAAGTGTCACGGTCGAGAACATATTAATTTGTTCTAATGTGCGTTTAATTTACTTTATATGGAGGCCGAATAAACCGCTGAGTTGTGAATATAAATGTGAATACGTGTCTTATAAAGACAATAAGTTGGTTTATATTTGTGAGAACACGTACAGATTATATCACACGTAACATCGGATAATTTGTGTTATTACCAATACTTTTATATTAATAAGAAATACAGTCTGCACTTATCTAGCTGGTCAGGAGTAACTCCAAATGTTTTATAGCTGGATTAACATCGTGATATATGATTTGTGGAAGAATTAAATCAAAACTTTCATATTCTAATAGATATTTCCGTTTATCAATATTGGTTTACATGTTTGAAGACCTATTATGTAGAAACTAAAATGTCGTGTTTTCAAATAACCTACAACTTATTATTTTCTCGGATAGTTATTTTTTTTAATTAATAGATTAATACACATTTGGCGCAGTCTCTTCTAATGTTATTCAATAAATTAACCTGCCAAAATCAACCGCGCTGTCGACGGAACAATTGAGTTCAGCCAACAGGAAATTTTACACAACGCATTTTGTAACTTATTTAACAGATCCCAAAATTATCCAATTGTCTGTCTACTGATCACGAGAATGTAATTAACTTCTGCAAATTGTATATTACACTTTATTTATAATTTTTCAGTATTTTATGTTCAGAATATTGTTATAAGAATATAAAAGTATGTATCAATCAAAGAATGCATAAATAATTCATGCATTCTTTGATTGATTGCGGTAATAGCTTCAGCTATGAGTGTGTGTATATTAGAATATACACACACTCATAGCTGAAGCTTCTTCATGTCTGTTGTTGTTCAACAGTACGTACTTAAGTATATCTATTGTCCTAGTACACAATATTCGATATTAATATAAAGATAATAGAATAAGTTGGAAATATGCTCACAATTTTAACAGTATATCTTATTACGTGCTGACACTGTCGCATATGAAATCTAACGAATACATTTTTCTTATTATGAATCCTGTACTTACATACTACATGTCTATTATTATTTGATATATGTTATTCATTAATGACCTGTGGACATTCTTATTGGAGTTTAAGATAAGACTGAAACAGTTTATGGAATATACATTAATGGTGGTATTTAAATTTGGATTGAATATGCATAGAAAATGTCGTTATTATAAAAAAATATATAATATATACCTTGGAACACCATTTTGTCTACAATTTGTACATAATACTCGTATACATCGCGGCTTCCTGAGTAAATACTATTACGGGGACGCACCCCGCAGTAGCCGATTGTATCTAGTTAATTAATTTGCATATTAAATGTCGCCAAAATTACAATTACAATGTACATTTATGTATTATGTATTTACCGACTTTAATTATTTCAATGTAAGCATTTCTTATCATTATATTTTTTTCATCTTTCATTATTATTATCAATTTACCAAATGTTGTATTTGTGTTTATGACTATAGCAAAACAAAAATACTACCGTATTGGCCACACAATTGTATAAGTTGACTAGCCTACTTCCGGTTTCGCTCTAGTGCTCATAACTTTTATTAACATACAGTTCACTATGGATAAAGTACTTTTTAAACAGCGTTAGATTCTTAAATAAATGCGGATACATTTATAAAATATTTTTTTCTTATATATATACATTTTTTGGTTGTAGCAACAAAAGACGAGCCCGACGGGGATAGTGGCGAGTGCCGCGGCAGGCAACAGAACGGAGGCGGCCGCGGCAAACTGTCATACAATGGATATTCAGAGGAGTGCCTGGACCGGCTCGAACAAAACGGCAACATACCACATGACAAGGAGCCTCATTACGGTTAGTGTAATGTTTACTTTCTTTTAATAGTCTTAAGGTCGCTTTTTCTGGTGCAAAGTTTGATGTTTTCTTTTAGGTTTATTGAAATGTAAACCATTACACGCTTCATAATTAAAACTATGGGAGGCTCTATTCTTAAGTGCGATACTAGAATATTTTTTCTATCAATCTTCATTGACAGAATTTAATCTTCATTTTCTGCTACAAACTTAGCTACAAATGTGTTCTTAAGGGAATTACTATTTAAAGCCAGAACTCGTTTAGATGGCAGTTTGTTCATGTCAGGCATGTTCCTACTGTCGCATTGCGGTTTCGCATAAGGGCATAATTAAGTTAATCACTCCTTCCGAATATGTACATGTCAACGCAAGTTAACATTGATATAGATTTCGTCTAAGATTTGCATTATGCGTAAATACTCTTATGTTCTCCTTGAGGTCATGATTCGAACTATTTTAATTCCTTTGGACATTTTGTTAATAAATTCTGTTGGAATAATACCTACTTATTTCTGCCATCTCGAGCTAAATAATGCCAAATTGTCCAAGTATAATAAGAATTTCCTGGGTGTATTTACAATAAAATAATTTTCTTCAATAATCTATTACCTAAACACATTTTCATAATATTACAATAATATTAGTCGCGGCTTCGTCTGCTTTTTTTATACGAAAAATAGCCTATGTTCCGTCTGTTGTGATATATATCTATCAGTTTATCTTTATATTAAATTTTATTATGACCCGTTTAGCCACGAAATGCTAATAGAAGGACACGCATTAGAATAAATAATTATACTATATTTATGGCACATAATAAATCATTTTACAACTTATCAACTGTACATTTATGTAACTTTTTTTATGTTATATTATTTGCTGTGATTTATATCGTACCCTTTGGTATAATTCCCGCATACGTTATTGAGACTTACGATTTGTTCAACCTTTATACTATGTTCCATAACAATGAGTGTACCTGGCTGATTATGGTTCATCCGTGTACGTGTAGATCTTCTATGAAAACAACTTTGTGATAAGCCGTTTCAGATATGAATAGATGAATTCTATTGTGTTTCAAGCACAAATAGATTTTAGCACTATTAGTAATCACGTTTTACGACATGCCGTTTACAATAACATATTTTTCATTCTCTATATTCGTAATCTACCACGACTATTCTCAAGAGTTCTGAAAACTGTTGACTTGAACTATTACGTTTCAATTTATTTTAATTTTATTGACTTTTTTAACCCTGGACTATTAACACAGCGCCATCTAGTCCCACAGTAAGCAGAGCTTGTTTTATGGGTACCAGACGATGAGACGACGACGAGATGGGTATCTTTTTTGTAAATACATACATAATGTATATAGAAAACACCCAGACCGATACTTAACAACACTCATGAATACAAATGTTAGAACCGCGCGAGGAATCGAACCCGTGACCATCGGTAAATCGGTGTGCTAAATTGGTAGACCACCGAGGCCGTCGTATTTTGTGTAATAGGTGGGTTTAATGCTACTCTCCGGCAGTCATCCTTTGGAGATAATTAATATTTTTCGAGATTGTTTCATAACAATTTGTTGACGTGGGCGTTACATTAATTTAAATATATGATTAATTAAAAATATACTGCAAGTGCAATAACGTGTAATTAACTCATCACCGGTCAGCAAAGTGTCAATATGGTATCGAATACGACCCCTTCATTATGGAAAATTAAGACGTAAATTAATAAAATATGTCATGGAAACTCTTCAAAAGTTTGCGATATACATCGCTCCCGTCCCTTTCCATTAACTACAAAAGGAACAAAAGCTGACGACTGCAGACACTCGAGATAGTGCTTACTTCTATACTTTAGACTTATCCTTAGTATTAACATTACTTGATAAAACTGAAATAATCTTTAATTTTCGAGGTTAAAGACCCTTGATAATTTATCACGACTTTTAAATAAAGCAGTATCGCAATTATATTACGCATTTACTTTTGATTCTCTAAAAACTATCAAATATAGATATTTGATGTACCTATGTAGTATTTTTTTAATAAAAATATTTTATCTTTGATATCCAATGACCATAACCTTCTCTACTATGCTAGAGAAAGAAAATTTTGTATTTCCATCTACAGTATTATAAAAAAAGTAATTGACGAAATGAAGTAAAAAAAACAATTACTTATCTGCATTTTTTATACATGCCAAGAAGAAGTCTTCTAGTCGACGACGCAACTGAAAATAATATTTTTCATGTAGGTATAATTTAGGTGCGTGTCGTGTTCAATGCTTTAAGTTTGAATTTTGTAGGCAATACTTATACAAATGAAACATGCTCGTGACAGGGCCCTCGTTTGACATTGTGTAAGCAAACACACGTATACAAACATTTACAAACCAAATTTTGGTCCTGAACTTCTGACAGCCAACAGCGCCATTGTTAATTCCCTCTCGAAATATGATTTCTCTCCATGAACTGAAAGCGTTATTAAAACCCTTTATAATTGTTTGGTATCATAAAATAGAATTATATAATAAATATGGAACTATATCAACATTCCATTATTACACCACGAATGATCATGCAACAATCAGACAAGTTGATCACTAAACTTTACCGGATTAATTTAAAGAATTATCTTATGACCTTATGACATATAAAAAATTAAATATACTTGTTTTTAGACACTGCAGTCAATCAGATAAAGATTTGCATTATTATTTCTCTATATCCTCTTTTGCAGTTCATTAAGATTGTAAAATTTATTCCATATGTAAATTTAAGTGTTTATTTGGCCTAGTAACAAAGGCCCTACTAATCATTCGACCTTGAAAAGGACGTTCTTATATTAAACGTTTAAATGTGTACGATATATCTTGGTGAATTCTGTCCCGATCATGTCGATTGTTTTTAACTCTCTTGTGTTTCGTCGTGATGAAAGTTTTTTCTGGAACAAAACATACTTGTTCGTCATAGTCGATCATTCACATCGTGCTATGATTGCGGTGGCGTAGATGACGTCTTTTCATTATTGCGGCTCATTTCTTCAAATTTTTCGTTTTGTATTTAATTTCTATCTACATAACACGGTCAGTAACAAAAATAATGTTATCTCTAATAAACTTTTCATTTTCTTTCTTATGAAATTACACAAATATATCGACCAATATTACTTATTTCCCCTTTTCCATGTTACATGTGGGTTTTAGGTGTAAACAACTTGTTTCTAAGAAGAATCTTATACAGTACTGAATAAATATACATGTAATGAGGGTTGTGTTTATCTTTGTTCGGACACTGCTCCAAATACACCCCGGGGTTTTTGTTCCGTCTCTACTTCATGTTTGCTGTAGATGACGGCTTGTTTGCTTTCTTTCAATTATTCAGAACAAAGCTTTGACAAATGTTTCGGAAATTATGCGATTTCACTGGTTTAATGCCTCTAGTAACAGGCCGGGACACGCGAATTGTAGTATTTCGAAGAAATATTTATTGTATCTTATAACTTTAACAGATATAGGAGAAATACTATACTATAATACAGAATGTATTGTTACTATTGTAGTCGGCAATTTGCAGAAAACAATAGATTTTTTGTCAGAAGAACCTTTGCAGATTTGTTTCGTTATATTTACTAGATACTGCGAATAGCAAATAGCTCATGTCCACAATAAAAAGGTAAAGTGCGAGTGGGTCACCCGTATCGAAGGTACAGAATATATAAACTTTAGTTTTTTTTTATATAATAGGTACATATATCATAGGTAGGTGTTATTAGTAACTAAAAGGGAATAATCAAGCGTCGATCTCTTAAAAAAAATATTAAGTATTTTTTATTAATAGAATGAAAAAAAAACTCATTTATTTAATCAATTTATTGACAATGTACAATGTATTTTAAAATACAGTAATTCAAAAACGTAGTTAAATTCAGATATCTATTAATATTTATTATCTTCTTTTATCATATGCAAATTATCGTCTTCTGGTGGTTCTGTTGAACTTTCATTGCTGTGCCATTGCCGAGCAAAATTTCATTAAATCATTGATTAATACCCACTTTAGGTACCCTCCCCCCGAACTCCTGTGATGTGGCTGAACCATTTTGTAATTAATTGTATTTACGATCTGTATTGTCTTGGAATATGTTACTATACATATTATACTATACATATATATATTACTGTTATAGAATTAACTGTACTTCTAAATGTGTTTACAATATATTTGCTCTAACTCTGGCAATACCGAAGGGAGATAATATTATAATATATATATATATATATATATATATATATATATATATATATTTCGTCATGCAAATACTATTTATACCAATTAATTCAGTAACTATGAAATTTAAAATTAGTTTCAGGTATTTTTTAATAAATTCTAATATTAATAATATCATAAAAATTATACTACGTATTCTAAATTACTTAGTATAGTTTTGTAGAGTACAATTCGAAAATAACAAGCTCGTATATTCTTATCCGAAGTATATTCGATAGAACTGTTTTGTTTATTATTTTATCAAACACCAATAGCCAATCAAAATTGTTTGAAAAACGGTATCGTACAATATATATGCAAACGAATGGACGAAATAAAAATATTTACGATATCTATAGAAAACGTCGACCTTTCGTCCGAACTTCTAATACATACAGCTTCAGCTACCGGATTCGTCTCTTCAGTTAAACTAAACCTAGCTATTTTACCTGTCCATTGTTCATCCATTTTTCCTTTTGCATATATGATATGTATACACATATGACACTGCAAAAATCTGGCACCTGATTGAAATTTTGCCGACACGCGGCCCTCATTCAAAGGGTTGAATCAAAAGGGTGCGTGGTAGGTAATCTTGGGTCTTTCCCAAGGGGTAAAGTGAATTTACCCTCAATTTCTCTACAGTAATAATTTAGTGCCATTTCAATATTTTAGTAAACACCTTCTTCAAGTGACTTCTTACGAATGAATGACGTTTTCACACCTACTATTTTGCACATATAATAATAATCTAGGGTAATCATGAATGTCTTCAAACACCATATGTGTTTGTCATCATCATCATCACCATCAGCCCACTGCAGTCCACTGCTGGATATAAGCCTCTCCCAAGGTACGCCACTGGGCACGATCTTCAGCCCTTCTCATCCAGTTACTACCCGCAAACCTACGTATGTAAGTCGTCGCTCCACCTAGCTGCGGGGCGTCCTACACTACGTTTGCCAATTCGCGGTCTCCACTCTAGAACACGCCTACTCTACGCCTACTACTATGTGTTTGTACCATAGAAAATGTGTAATAATTGATCAATTTTTTATGAACCAATGAACATTTGTTTTATGTGTAATGAATTTATCGATAAATAATTGGATATCGATCGGGTACACTTTTTATTGCTTCATAAAATATTATACAATATAGGTTTTTTACAGTTTTGTTGAATACATATTTATTATTTTATATATATATATCAGTGTCATAAAATTGTGTTGTGGAGACTATGTGACTGTAGCAGTATTGGTATGGTTTAGAAAAATATTCTAATCCGGTAGTCTAATTTACTTAACAAACTAACTACTTTCTACTGTTTGATTACATTAGTTTTTATATTATTACCTGAGTATTTATAATAGATTATTAAATAATTAAACGTAAAAAAATATTTTTACTTACATATTTCTAGTTTTCCACTAAACCAAATTCTTTCTATTTCCTTTTATTTCGAATAAGAAATCAATGCAATTATCACACAACTTTATAACGTACCTAATGAATACAAACTCTCGGAACCTTCGGTTTCAAAAAGTCGGAAAGTTTCCTAATTGAATCACGAACGACGCAGTCACATCGTATTCAGTGCGTATTAATAGGAAAAATTTGCTGACAACGTCAACTTGGGAAGTCCTCGAATTACTAAATGAATAAGGCAATTACACACATGTTACAATGTACTTGTCACTTATGTTCGCAAATGAACTGCAGAAGGTTAATTCCGCATTAAGCTAATTGCCTTTTGTTTCGGGAATCATACATGCCGTCGAAAAGACGCCTGTCCATTTTAATTAAGGATATGCCACGGAATTCCGCCGGGCGCGGTTCTGACGGGGCGACATTCGGTGCCCAATAAACATTTTTATTTCCAGTCATCAAAAATGAAACACCTGCCCTAAAATGTTTGAAAGCTCTGTCATAAAGGACTGTAAATTATGTCGTATGTGTCTAGGTTGTTATGGCGTTACGTTACCTTTGCACATTTACGGAATGGCATATTATACTTGCCTGCTGTTGTTCGATGACATAGATCTTATTAAAGAGCTTTATGAGAAAGCATAAATTAAAATGATATGACTTTCTTACAAGTTCAATGATTACATGTGCTATATTATTATGTAGTATATTATGTGCTATCGTACATGCTATCTCAAAAGCTAAGGCTGTATAATACGAAAAAATTGAAAGAATAAACTAATTGAAAACTAAAATTACATATTTGGTATTACAATGTAACACAGTCATAAGTTTTTTACAGTTTTCAATGTAGAGTTTATTACTCAACCAGTTCTCCGGACGCAATTAAGAAAAATGTTAATAATTTTTTTACTCAATATTTGGCCAAATTTAATAAGGTGAACATCAATAAAATTATCGCGGCATTTGCCCTGTCCTCTGTAACGAGGGTTGACCGCGCCTGTCCCTTGCCCCGTGACCTACTTACAGAGATGGGTGTTACCGCACGCGAAAATGACATTTTCATACTTATACACGATTGTCATAATATCCGACTTGTAACGATCACGTACGGGCAGTTCCAGCTTATAATAACTAGCAAACGCATAAGTTTTACGACTGTTCTCAAAAGTTGTTTTAAATTGTTTCGCTTAAAGGCTATATGGTATGTTGTATTGTTTAGAGTCTATTACTGATCGATTGATCTCATGGGCTAATAATATTATAATGAAAATAATGTATTTCTTTATTTACTAGACCACAATACTCTGGAGTACAGCGCTACTAAAATATTACCTTTAATAAATTACTTAATTTAAATTTTAATACAGTAATTTGAAATGAAAAATGTTTATAGGAAAATGCTATATACAATCGCATACTACTAGGAATGTCATTCCTAATGCGATGCTTTATCTTAGTAACATTATTGACAGTTTCGAACATTTTAAAACTACTTTATTACCCGTATTATTGTGAAAAGGTGTCTTTACATATACTATACTATATATAGCTTATAAAAGCTTTATATATTATTTCCATAAAAATTGTGTTTGTGTCGTAGTGTATACAGTAAATCGAGTTTGACGAAATTTTTCGGGTAATATACGCTACAAGCGTATGCCTTGTAATGTATTATTTTACTCGGAAAACGGCAATAAGCTCGCAATCTGTCATGTTGAGACCACCGTAAAAGCGGGTGTTCAGTCGTAGTGAAGGGTTGATGTTTGGAAAGCCAATTACCTAACGCTCTGTGGGATAAATCGACTTACGTGCCACGAAACACTATTTCTCTTTATATTGAATGAGCATGTAGCAATCACAACGATTTTAATTTATCAATAACAAAATCCAATATTTTCCTATCTGTTTTCACGTACTTACAGTTCAATGGCTATGATCGATTGTGTCGGTAATCGATTGTTCAGGACCACCGATTTGGCTGTCTGTCGATGATTTATTCGCATCATGTTCACGTCGCGTCGATATCGAGCTCTTGGCGCTAACGCTTTCAAAGTGCCTGTATACACGGTACAGCAATATAGATGGGCGCGAGAGAAATACCTCCTTTCAAACAACGTCGATTCACCGCCGCTTTTTTTATTTTCTCGTGAATTAATTTGCTTACTAAGTGCTTGCGGGGGAATTTTGTGTGAGGATTTTCAACCTGTCAATTGCTGACGCTTTCAATGGCACTGTTTGTATTTCAAAGTGCTCTGATAATTTGTATCGCTACCGAGATTGGCGAAATTGTGTCATTCGCTTGTTCTCAGTTCATATAAACGGGAGGGTGAATTTGGGATATCAAACGAAACAATGTATGATTAAAAGGATTCCGTATGTGGAAACATATATTTTACCTTGTTAAACATATTGTCTTCTATTGCTATTAATTAATGAAAGTTGTTAAAGTAATTTCATTAGCCATTGGTCCCCACAGTCGCTATATCATCGTGCATGTCAGTTTTGGAATAGCACCCTCGCGCAAAACGGTTACGACACGCTTGATCGGAACTAGATGAAATTTGGCACGCACAAAGACTCCTCGGCCTCAATCGCGCTAAATTTGAACGGAATTATCAAAACACCACAGCCAAAAGATTACCTTGAGTACATTCCGTTGTATATTTTGTTTACATGCTAATAATTTTAAATATCATGAATCAGTTTTCCTTTGGTAAATACTTTATCAAAACGAAGTTCTAAAGTATTATAATCATATGCAATTGTAATTTTGACCAAACAATTTTACGTTTTTTTATTTACATGTAAGTTAAAGTTAAAGCAAAACTCACTCCGTTTCAAGTAGCGCTATTTTCCCCTTTGTTAAACAGGTTAAGACTTTTCCAGACATGTGTCCTTTGGGATGAACTAATTGTAATATTTACATTTAATCATCCCTTTTCGCTTGTATTATTTGGGGTCAACGCAGAATGCTTTTCTGTTTAACCGATCCCTATCAGCCACATTTTGTTCACAAAGTTCATATATCTTTTCTTTAGTCATTGCTTGTCTTTATAGTCAAAACAATAAAGAATGTTTTGATGACTACCAGTCGTCTTTAGTATGTATGTGTCTTTATATGTTATTTCATGTTTAGTTTAATAACCAATTAAAAAAACCTTACAAGTTGATCGCTTGCAAAATTGCAATTTAATTACGGAACCATGTAACAAATATAATTATTTATTGGTTTAGGTATTACATAAGGTCATAAAAAGAATGTCTTACAAATAAGGTTTAATTTAAATGCAGTTGTTTCTTGCTAACATTGTATCTCAAAATACTCATTTCATCTTTTCAGAATGGAGCGGAGGTGGTAACGGCGAGTACCGGGTGCGAAGACAACTGTCGGTGTCATCCGACTCGAAACTCCTGGACGAGGGAGCCCGGGAAGACGCGCGAGTGGTGATGAGGCCCAAGCGACCACCCAGGCCTAAATCAGAGGCCTTTCTAGGACCGCATGATCACAGCAACCGCCGCACTAAGCGGTTTAGTGCCTTTGGGGTAATTTCCTATTTCATATAGTTTACATTCATAAATTTATACTCATATTATTAATTTGTTAGTGTGTCTATCAAATGTGTTTATGTCTGTTTGTTACCTTTTCACGACTTAATGGTTAAACACATCTTACTGAAATTTGTTGTGAAGACAGATGGTATGACGAGGAAGGACATCATATATCTTTTATCTCAACACGATTCTAAAAGGAGGTAAAATAGGTGATGAAATTTGTGCAGAAGAAATTACGGTGAACAGCTGGTCTAATTTATTTATTTATTAGAAAACCACCACCTCACAGTCCAATACATCAAATTTAGTAATTTAATATAACTGATATTAAGAATTCTTTACTGTTCTGTCCTTCTTACGAATAGAACTCTACATAATTGAATGTGAAAATTTTCAATCATTAGGATATTATTACAATAGCCGTATATTCATCATCATCATCTTCCAACTGATATGTCACTTTATGTTTCAACTACTGGCCCTCCCTCATAAGATTTATGTGACAAATAAATTAGTAAATAGAAAGTAAAATTAATCTTTTTAGTTTCAATGTCAGCTAAAATTGTGATACTAATTGATTAATCTCCCGACTAAAACAGTTGTTTATTCGTCTCCTTAATTGCATCTTTCAGGCCGCCTCCCGTATATTTTTCTCCGAATATTTTCAACCATCCTTTTAAGCTTCATAAATCAAAGTAAATGTTTTCGGGTCCCATTATTCAGAAGTTTGCGACTTTACCTCGTATCATATTTGTTAACATAGGTATATATATACACACGACCAATATGAATGTAGGATATCCTTACGTTTGTTTAATTAATACAGTTATTCCTATTTCAATTAAATTTTAATATGTTGCTGAGATGGGCTGTCATTTTTGATTTTTATTCAATTGTGGTATCAAGCACCCGCAATGCATAATTACTGTTGGATTTTTGAAGTATTATAAACGCGAAGGTTAATGAAGATGGTTGGATGTTCGTTGCTTTTTCGCGCTAAAACTATTGAACGGATTTGAAAACAAAAAGGTTCCATCCTATTTTTTTTATTGAGTATTTTGGGTAATTGTCAGCGGTTAAGATGTAGCTCTAAGACCTATATAGATCTATCGTGCTTGCCCTATCCGAAATTGACACATATGACACTTTACACGTTCTCAAGTGTCGTTCTGACTACTCTGACAGAACGACACTTCAGAATGAGTAACTGTCTCTACTGACTCTAAGAGGCTACCCGCACTAACGTAAAATAGTGGCTAAAAGCTATAACAAATAATAATGACAAACGACGCAGTGTGACTGGCCATAACTTGACTGGGCGAATGCGGGGCTGCCATTGGAATACAAATAGGACGAATGAAGACTTCGCACGACACTGATTAATCGTGTGAAAGATTGGTGTAGCAATTCGTACCTAATATTTCCTACAACATACAATTCAAATTCAATATAACATCGTTGCGTGTCATGTATATATATGTAATCTTGAATATCGCTGTACTATTACCAGCAATCTTTTAAATAGTAAATTCCCTTATCCTTTACCAGCCTATCAAACTCGGTCACCAAAAGACCGTATTAGCTATCAAAACCGAAGCATAATGTGTGGTCTAAAGCTTGAGGAATTTTTGTGTCCAACAGAAGATTCAATTAAATATGTACATGTCATTCTCCAGGATGCACATGAATATTTAATAATAGTAGTAATATCACTAGACAAGAGATATATGTAAATACGTCAATACATTTTTTTGTAAATATATACGCAATATACATGAGAAATATAAGACTAATACAAACATTCATATCATGAATATAAATGTTCTGTGATAGAAATCGAACCCGCGACCGTAGGAAGGAAAGGTATCCGAAACACTTAACGTCATTCACAATTTTTTTTTTAAAATCGAAGCAGTCGTACTAGGATTTTCTAAAATGTTAGCAGCTCGACTTGCACGACTTTGATAAATCGACGCTATTAAGATTGGATTTTGTGTCCCCGTCCGCCCTATGTCAAATGTGTACGGACCATGGATTTTGGTGCATTCAAGGACACAGTAACCGAACAAACCAATATTAATTACTGTCTGTAGATATTGATAATAGTGATATGGGCCTTTGTTTTATCTAAAGATATCATAAGTTTTATGTTTTTTATGTAATTGGAACGGCCGTTCTAATGGAAAGTGGGTTTGTGCGTTGACATACCTGAGGACTAAGGTGTTATGCCTCTATATCCTGTAATTTCACTGGCATGTATCACCCTTCGAACTGTACACAGTGGGGACAGACTGGATGTGTCGATAAACTATATAGTTTTCGTTCAGTAACTATTACTGCCTGCAATTTCATCGTCAGTGTCCTGACGATGAAATTGCGGGCAGTATATTATTATAAATAAAGTTGATTATTCTTATAGATATGAATTGATAAAAAAAAATCTCAGTACAATTTACATACCATCATTTAGTCTCAATATAAGTATAGCTTGTGTTATGAGTACTAGACAACTAATATAAATGCATAGTTAATTTTTTTGTACATAAATATATAGAAAACATCTAGCCCGATACAAAAAATCATACTCATGAATACAAATGTTTGTGCCTTGCGAGGAATCCAACTTGCAACCATCGGATGTAAGGTGAGATATACCGCTAGACCACCAAAGCCGTCAAGTATTATTAGGTCCATAGATATCTAAAATATTATCATAAATGTGTTATAATAACATCGTCCGCTATAAAATAAATATCAAATAATCTTCTTCAAGCATAAACGCATAAATATGCGTTTATGATAACACGGCCACAAATCTTAGGCTCGCATTAGCGTAGTCAAATATTTAGACAGGTAGCGAGCGAGCGCGCCAGTGCCCGAAGAAAGCAAAACGTTGTTGCTACGAAGCAGATGATAGCTCACAATACACACTAATCGTTATAAACTGCCTCATTCACTTCGTTCACACAAATGGCGATACGAGAGCGAAATTTACAGAATTCTATTTTTGTATTCGCCGGCTTATAAATAGGCATTTGTTCCAAATATAGAAGGAACAATCAGGGAAAGTTATTTAATGAACTTCGCTATTAATGGCAAGAATATGAATGTTTTATAATCTAAGCTAAAATTAATATTACGGACTTGTTTAAGGAAATACTTTATGAAAAAACTATAACAGTTATAAACATAGACGAAGATAAGTATATTTAACATAAAATAAAATATATTTATTATATACAAAGAGAGTAGAGTTTAATTCAATCGAAATATTGTAATTGGTCTAAAGCTGATTGGACTTATCGTTGTCTACATTTAGGTCAGAATATTTCTAACATGTTTAGTGATATATGCATAAATGAAATATTTCGACGGTAACCATTTCCAATGATTTTAATTACCTAGGCTTGATAACATGTACAGTATCTTTACATATAGTGGATTTTGAAATAAATAACACGGTACATAAGACATATCTACAGAATTTATATTATGGATATAAGGTAATTGAAAAGTTTTTTGTATCATAAGAATGGCAATGCTAGAGTATCCATCATTACACTGTCAACAAATACAAATATACGTACTCATGTATATAATATGTATTTTGTATTGTACGAGGATTGAATAGGTAACAATCGAAAGGTGTGGTATAACAATCAAATGGTGCAAACAATTGTTGTGTCAAGCTCGAGAAATTTATTATTATGATTTATTCAGCGTGTTGGTAATACTTACTTAAAACGTTAGCATTCATTATACAAGTAGATGAAGAACTGCAGTCTCGAGGGGAAAGAACAGGAAGCAACGCTGTCCGGAAACTTACTTCAGAAAGAATAATAGGACGAGCAGCAAATTAAGTTACCAGTCTTGGCGCACTCTCTTGGCGTAATAAAAAATGACAAGAAAGTTTCTCAGATAGAGTTTTATAGATTTCTTTCCAAATATACCTCGTAATATCTTTTGTAATGCAGTACACTATTAAACTTGGATATATTTAAAATACATTCCAATGGCGTTTAAATACACAATAAGTTTTAATATGTAATACATGTTTGACTTACTAGCCGGGAATAATTCATAATGATTTGACTATATGATTTTTACAAAGTTTTTGTTTAAAAATGTGTATTGTCACTGCATTGTTGATACACCGTAGTCTTAAGTCACATTTCATATATTAAATAGTATTGTATTACGTAAATGTAGGACATATACCTACACCGTAATATTTTTTGATGTTTCAAGAGCCATTAAAGCCGTTATCAAAACAACTAAAAGTCCGGCAAAGTAATATAACATACAGTTCAGTCAACATTTTACAACCTAACCATAATTTATTTACGACTGAAAAGTACATATGCCTATTTCGTATAATATGTGGCTTCCACGTGTAATCCCGATTTGTTGAGCCATTTTACGAGCTATCAGCATTTCAACCTCGAGTTTTCGAGCGCAACTATACAATCATAGTTGCGCTCACTGATATGTATAAAGAAAGGTGAAAATTTTATATGTGAATTTAATGGACTTGATACTAAAATGATTTGTCTTTTAAACTACAAAACTATGTATTTATACTGTTTTTATTATCTTAATATTTCAGGTCATCATATTATCTATTAGTTTATATATATATCTATTAGTTTCTGAAAAAAATTAGTAGTTATATCCAGAATAATAAAAAAAATTTAGACGTATTATTTATTTGTTTTAGGCTAGGCCCATACTATAAATTACGTTACGAGTTAAGGGTCCTGAATTTTAAAGACAATGGAATGACAATGGGTTACATATCATATATTTATGCTATGCTATGATAAATTAACATTTTTGTTTTTTTTTGTCCACAGGGAGATTCTCCGTTCGGGAAATCCGAAGCTTATATAAAACTTGAACAGCTCGGTGAGGGTTCCTACGCCACAGTGTATAAAGGTTATAGCAAGTAAGTAATTCAAATAATTGTAGTACTACCGTGCTTTAAAATTATTTATAGTATTAAGTTATGATAAACAGCTAGAGACACTGAATTGTTGACGCCGTGTTGAATGAAACATTTGGATCTGTCCACCATATACATATATTATATTCCCTCGGTATATTTAAATTCAACTCTTGGTAGCAAGGGAGCCTACTGCCGTCTCTCGGATTAATTTTTGGGTTGTTCCTTCACCGAAGAATCGAATCAGAAATGTAAATTTACAAATTTTTGTTTTGGTGTCGACCAAATTTGAGATCACGACTTTTGTGCAATCGTAATAATTAACCACGAGGAGTAGATTATTACTAGTTATGGGTTAGTAGTTACAATTATACTTAGAGTATCTATCAATATTTTTTTCCTAATGATATGACTACTATCCTGAGTTATAGATTATGAAAGGCGTAATAACTTATGTATTACTATTGTTTGTTAATCGTATAAAATCACAGCACAATCTCTTACTTTGACCGTTTAAATTAAGATAACAGTATCACATGTGTTAATCCAGGATGCGGTCCATCCTCATTCCGCAATTAATACAAATCCATTCAAACGTTTAAGCATGACTGCGTGAAAAAAATATATGTCTCATTTATTGTATTGAAATTCAATTTTTCTGTTATTATCTAGTAACTAATAAATATGAGTTAGAGATATATTTTAATGAAGTGTAGTAAGAAAATGATAAACATACAAACATCACACATTTTTAAAAATTATTGATATTTTGCATACAAACTATACAGCTGGACTAAGTGTATGAAATTTCCAATTTTGTAAATTTAAAATTGATTAATGCAAAATAGTTTGATTTTAGTTATAAATTCTTCTTCATAGTTTATCATTCTTGCATATTTAAATTTTAAATGTATTCTTAAAATATATTTTGAATAACGTTTATGAAATCTTAGGACTTTTAGAAATAGAAATACTCTAAAAGTTCAGTACGTATGTCAAAAGAGGTCATTTGGTAATAAATCAAGTGAATATATATGAATTTCGTAAAAGGATTTTTCTGTTTCGAATTCCCTAAATGTATTAGGAGCTCAAAGTAGAATAAATTGAACATTTTATTAAGTTTGACATAAAAGTTATGTATATTAAATAAATTTAAAATACATTTAAATTCAATATTTTACATTAAAGATTTTAGAATAGAAAAATATAACATACAGTATACTGTTTTAAATTAGACGCGGTCATTATTTATACGTCTAATTAGTCAAAATTACGGGATCTTACCACATTTTATATTTATTTATTGAGTTCCCGATATTTCGGCAGTGTTTCAACCGCCATGATCACGGGTAAACTGATTGCAGCGGGTAAATGGAATTTTCCAAAACTTAATAAATAAATATAAAACGTGGTAAGATCCCGTGATTTTTATTAATTATACATATAACATACAGTAGTAACATAAACTGTATGTATTATGTTATAGATTTAGAAACAATTTAAAATTGACAGTCTCCTGTTTATTGAAGTAAATTTTAGAACAGGATAAAATATTATATGACGTAATAAAGTTTTACCATAATTGTAAAATCCGGATTTTACTAGTGCATCAGAAGTATCGACCCCTTTGTCACTCGAATCCATTTACAGTTTCCTTGACGTCACTCGATATGTAAAGCGTGCTCTTACCCTACTTTGTACCAGCTGAAAGTCTAGTTCATGCCTTCTCGACTCTCTAAAATATTAAAGTTTCATGAAAATAATACCGTTGCTGTATATTTTATTGCATATAACTAGATTTCTTTTGACTATAAAGTATACATTTATTTATGAATTATGCAGTGAACTTGTTGCGATTCTTTCCGACATTATGAAACCCTATGTAAATTAAATAATTAACGCCGATCTCGAGATTTTCTTATTATGTTAATTTTGTCCCGTTTTAATGTTCATATTCTGGGCAGTAACCAAACAAATCAAGTCATAAGAATTGGTATAACCGCTTTTGAGTTATAAATAGCATAACCAACTCATGTTTATTATATTTATATAGAGATTCTCTTAAGTGCTTAGGTTATAATATATTATTCCGTCTGAATTTGATATGTTAATGTTTAAGTAGATAATTAATCCCCAATTAGACCTTTATGACCGTAATTAAAAACTTTTCTAGTTATTAAAATGGCCAATATATTTAGCTATTAAAAGTACCAAAAGACAATATTGTAATATGTACCGTGTTAGCCAATGTAAAAATAACACACATAATGTAAAAAAAACAATACAACAGTATATTATATATTATACCTATTCCATAAGCTAATAATCATGAACTGCACCGCTAAGATACAATGAACATTTGAATCCTTGTTATCTCACATACGTTGTCATTAATGAGGACCAAAGTCCCGTGCCTCCTTATCCTATAATATCACCGCCATATCTGACCCATTAACGAAACACAGGTTTATTATATGCTCCTTGTTGCAGTATAAATGGGTAAGATAGAGGTATTTACGCAGATGTCTATCTATATACAAAGTATTCTTTCGTAGAAATTGTAAATTGCTTGCGAATGCAGCGGAGCAATAAAATAATGTTCTCGCCCATAGATTAGCTAGTTTGCATTAAAAAAATTCTTTACAAAAGAAAGGAATATTACACTTTAACGTACCTTTGAATAACTTCGTTATACTAGGTCAAACTTATATATTAATATTAGAGGTAAATCGTAGCAATGTTAAAGCAAGACCGGGTCAAGTGGTTGAAGTCAAACGAAACATGCCGAGTACATTGCTTCTGAATATTGAATAAGTGCTTAGCGTACTGCTTCGCCCGTAATGAGCGTGTTCAACTTGCCAAATTGTTCTATTCATGAGCAGTAAAAGTTAGGCCACTATAAGGGTTACCAACTTTAATATAATGTCACTTTTAATGAGTGTTAACTTTCTAAGTTATGAAACTTCTTACTGACAAGAAGCCCATCTATTTTTGGCTGCCGGAAAGAGTACATGAAGCAATAAGTTAAGGCTTGTAATGTTTATATGCATATTGTAATGCGTTGTTTTGTTACTTGCAAGTATTTGTGTATATCGGTTCGTTACATTTTCCGACCTAACCAACTGAATGGATATTAATGAAATTTACCATGAAGATAGATCATATCTTGAGAACGGAAATTTAAATAGCATATCGAGCAACCATGAAAAAGTTCATCATTTAATAAAATAATAATACAGTAATCATACTGTTAATCTTCGTGGTGTCTGTGTTCATTATTTTCAAGAGATGTATATATGTATAAGAACACGAGTTTAATTAGTTTACAAATACTTGGTAGTAAGTAATTAATATTTAGCGAGACTAAAGGCAGGCTGAACGTAAAAGTTACTGCCTGCATAGTCCTCTACAACGTTAGCTAACTCTTGTGAAATGGAATTTGTCAGTGTTGCCAACTCGGTATTAGGTTTACTAACTAACCTAATTATGGAAACCGCTAGATTAGTTTTAGAAATTGAAAAGCAGAATCGTTAAATAAAATTTCATGAGGATCGACTTTGATGTAATTGCATAATTACAATTACTTAACTTTGTACCATACCACCATCTACTTCTTCCTTAGCCCATTTATTTGGGTCGGCGTAATGTTGGTAGTCACCTCGTTATGTTTTCTTGCCATATCATCTTTCACACAGTCCATCCATCTCTTTTTCGGCATTCTTCTGCTCTTTTTACCATCCACATTCACATGTAATACTTTCTGTAAAATATTCCCTTAACTTTGTCCGTAGGTATATAAAATTCTAGAAACATTTAAATAATTGTACAACTAGTTGTTATTTTTTTTCAATACTTAACAAAACATTATTTCTCTAACATGTTCTATGAAAATTCAATTTGTTTTGAGTTGTGGAATAGATTTTTGAATAGGAGTTAAATTAATAATCATTGGATAGAAATAATGGTATAATGGTTAAGAATAGTCTAAATGACTTAAGTCGGCAACGCTGGAATTTTACGCGTATGTTAATCTACATCTTATAATACATAATGAAAGTTAATGAGGTTAGAGAAAATATTTAACGCACTGTTTGTTCAGACTCTACAAAGACTATAAATTTTCATTTTCATAAGTTTATGCTACTTAATAGGTTTATGCTTAAGCTATGCATATAATACTCTTGAAAAATATATTAATTAGCAATTTATCTTGTAATCCAGAGACTATTGTTAGCTTTCGCAATCTTTGCCTTCAACATTAGGTATAGGATATTGGCATGCGACGTGACAGGAAAGTGATTAAACTGTTCTTTTAAAAACAACTGGGCATATGCTTACGTATACGTACGTGTATCACCACTGTGAAAAAATAAATAATAGTCATAAGTCATAAGAGAAAAGCAACGGATATTGTGAGACAGGACAAAATAATGTCTTTGTCTTTTTTACTTTTTGATTTACACATTTTACATATTCATATATATATATATATATATATATATATAGGCATGTCAAATGTTATCTGGAGAGATATATGACGATTTCGGTGGTCAATCGGTTTAGTACACTGCTTTACTTCCGATGGTCGCGGGTTCGATTTCTTGCACGGTACAAACATTTGTATTATTATTTATATCGGTCTGGATAATTTCTATATAAGTGTGTCTGGATATATCTATTTACGAAAAAATAAGTATTCGTATCAGTTATATTGTAACGGTTATATCCGTCGGTTGTATTTACAATCCAAATCATGATTGGCGCATAAAAACGTATAGCCATGGTACTTATATAATATATTAAAACATAGTAATCAGTAAATAATACAAAACACAATGAGTAACAACCAGGTGCAGTGATATATGAAAAATAGTAGTACATTATTCTAATGACATTATTGGTAAATCCATTTTTAAACAACCTAACATTAATAACCTTAACCTAACACCTTAACAGTAATAATGTTATATGACAAAGAACTTCAGACTACATATCTGTAAACGTGACTCTCTGGTATTTACATAGCAGCACTATATATGTCACACGTGATGGATGATAGGGTCGACAAAGTAGTATAGTAGAATAGCTTTGTTCATAAAGCGGCGGTCATTGCTAATCCAGTACCAATTGAGTTTCTTCTCTACTGAAGTAGTAAGTAGCCGAACTGGACGGTAAAAATTAAGACGTACATAGATAAAATAAAAAATAAAAATAATTTGGACTTTGCGTTTGAACTCATCAAATCATGTTAGCGATTACATAATTAACACATAAAAGTAAGAAATACTATTAAATTATACGTTGATATACTTTCTTTAACACATTGGAAAAAAGAAGTATTCATTATTTTATAGGCATACAGCTCGGCAGTACCCGCGTGATAATTTGTATTCCCGTGGGAATTTCGGAAATACTTTCACAAAGTAATATAGGTTAGGCGTATTAGAAATTTCAAGTTTTTTTTTTACAAAGCCTATCTTAGCTCTTACCTAGCCATCCATACTCTATACATGTTACATAAGGAATCTTGAATGAAGACAAATTGATATAATCATGACTTTATTTTGCAACGTTATATTTTTATTAACAAGTTAATCTCTTTTACAGTTTAACACAGCAAGTAGTAGCTTTGAAAGAGATCAGACTGCAAGAGGACGAGGGTGCGCCATTCACAGCGATCAGGGAAGCGTCGTTACTCAAAGAGTTGAAGCACGCCAATATAGTCACACTGCACGACATTGTGCACACGCGGGAAACGCTTACCTTCGTGTTTGAATTCGTGGTAAGTTAGCAAGCTACGTATATCAGACAGCAAGGGCTATTTTTTTTGTAACTGTAGTAGCAAGTAGTGGTGGACCGACGATCTGGTCAATATCGCTGGAAACCTTTGGTTGCGAGCAGCACAGGACCAATCGTCGTGAAAATTTTTAGATTTGAAACCTTTGTTTAGCAGTGAACATCTTCCGGGTTGAAATGATGATGATGATGAAGTAGCAAACAACGTGATGGTTCACCTGACAGAAAGTGGTAGTAGTATACATGAAAAACCGCAAACATCACGTCATTAAGTGACGCTGTACACTTAATGCGTTGTCTTTTTTTATATTAAGGTATCATGCGTCGTTAGGGTACCGGTAATTTCACTTGCCATATTTATAGCCTTTAAATCAGAACACAACTTATAAAGCGAGCTGATCAGAGGAAAGGGATTGTTTAGTAGTGTAGATTGTTAGTATTAACTATCTACACTACTAACAATTCCTTCCAGTAATGGGTCTATTATTACTAATAGCCCCATTACTAACAATGTGTCTGGTTGACCTCCATGCGGTCCTGGAAACCATCGTGATAGATTCCTGGAGAATTTACCACGATGGTCTACCTGACCTCATGCTCATCTTATCATTGTCCATCGTAAACCGTAAGCGCAGGCAGAGTATCGTTCCATTGTCATCAATTTAAAAAAAAGCAAGCTGGTTTGTGGCAGAAATAGATAAGAAAAAGGGTACACACACGGACTCATTAAAAAGTTGTGCATTAAAATTTCTTAGTAATCTGCTGCTGACTTGCAGATTTAAATGCTAAAACGCTATTCTGCTTATACCTATTATAAATGTGAAAAAGTATACATTTTAATTATTATAAATAATGCTTTCAAACAGCTGAGAGCTGTTTAATAAATAGTATGAGGTCGTATACACATAAGAGCATATCTTGTTTATACGACTTGCACGTTATGAGCTTCATCTTGAATGTTGCGAATTTATAACGAGTAAAAATAAATGTGTCTGTAATATTTATAAATGGAAATAAACTTTCGATGCAACGTTTTAAATACGGTTTACTGTTATGTAAAAGTAATTTAAAACATTGAAGTATCGGTAATATCCGTAGATATTAAAATTAAACTACCGTGGTGTTGTTTATATAAACAAGCTAAATTGTGTCCAAAAGCAAGAATTTTTATAGTGACAGAACAGAGATAAGTAGATATAATTTGCAAAACTCCACTAAGAAGTATTAATTATCTATTATTTAATACAAAAAAATATACGAAACATTAAGTTCGTTTTCATGAACGGCAAAGCTTGAAAAGTATCACGGATATCTTCATGTGTATTATGATATTTCACGGATATCATAAAACTGTTTCGGTGTTTATGTATACAACGATAGTTAGCACTTTCATTTAGGCGTGTGGTCGACTTGTTTGCTTTTACAGTTTCTTTTTTCTGTAACAATGTATATAAATCTAAACTTGTGAATATTTCCATTTGCAAATATTCAACATCACTGTGTTTACTTGATTCAATCAGATATTTGCTTACCGACCAGTCGGCTGTTATTACATAGAGAGCTGATGCATTATCATATTATTGTGTTGGAGTTGATAAATTTGCTTACACCACTTAAGTGTATGTTTTACCACAATGATTCACTGTGGCAATGTTTGCACAGGACACAGACCTATCACAATACATGGAGAGGCATTCGGGCGGGCTCAATCATCACAACGTAAGGCTATTCATGTTCCAGTTATTGCGCGGATTGTCGTACTGTCATCGGAGAAGAGTCTTACACAGGTAACTACTAAATAACTATACGATTTACTTATAAGTATTAAAGTTACAGAAATTGTATTAAAAAAAAATTTTGTGTCGTGATTAGAGATTAAAATTGTGATTTAGGCAATAATTGATATTTGTGTTAGTCTTTGGGATAAACTCGGAAAGCCTTTATATCTACTATTTTTTTAAAATTGATATATACTGTACGTGTGTTTTATTCGTAATAAACAGTACATAAAATAAACGAATAACTGGATTAAAAAGTACGTATGTTATGATCGCCCAAATACTTAAATCAATCATATATTATTAATTAATCCATGATTGATTTAAGTATTTAGGTAAAATAAAGTGTTTGAGCTTAATATTATTACTGATTTTTTAAAATATTATAGGTATTGTTTAATAAATATGCAAAGTAAAAAAATCAGAAAGTTTTCTTTACATAGTCAAATATGAATGTTGTAATTTAAAATTTTATACTGTCAATATTCTCTCATATAGATTAGAGACAATATGGCGTTTTAGGGTAACAGAGCGAGCACACCGTTCATAAATAAGTTATGAGACCAGCGAGTGGCCCTCCACTGCTTCACTCTCGGGGCGCATTCAAGCTCGGCCGCCCCGTAACTAATGAAACAAGCGCTGATAAATTAAGCTATCTCCGTTGGCTCTCGGTGAAATGAAAGCCTATATATTTTTTATATCTTATAAAAGGAAAATTTTTCTATTACGGTGCTTGTATAATACAATGAGATATTCTCACCTCTAGCTTTGTTAATAAAAAGAATATATATAGGTGGTATAAAACGAGACGAATTTTTCAAAGGGAATTTTACACAATGTACTTAGGTGTTTAGTTCTCACTATTGCGTAATATTTTTGGAATTATTATATAATAAAATAAAACCTACATAATCAGAACTTTGCGTGGTTGTCAAGTTAGTATAATATGTATTGAGTTTAATTAGATTATAACAGCAGACGTAAAAATTTAGAGTTATGTTTACTTTAATAACAAAAACAAATTGGTGTAAGAACTTTATAGGCAGCTAAAATGACAGTGTTATTGTAATTAAGTTCAGAAAGCCTCTTATATTTATATCTTGCATAGCATCATCCACTGCCATGATACGTCTCTTGCGTAATTAAAACTCGTACCAATTTCCAAGAATCTAAACATACCTCTTCCTTATTTACTATGTTTCATTGACGACATGCTCGGGCATTTTTTTATTTTTTATAAATATCATTATATTTATAATATGGGTAAGTTAACAAAACCAAAATCTAATAAAAAAATAACCGTTCATGTTATTTTATTTGATCTCTACAATATACAAACGTCATGTATTCTTTTATTTTTGCGTTTTTACTATTTTTGTCGATTTCTGGAGGGATTAACTCGTATCAACACGAACTGACAAAAAACTCCATTGTTAATTTTTTAATACAACTAAAGTAATATTTTCGTACTAACATTCATTTATTCATAATTTAAGAGCTACGCTCTTGTCGGTGGAGCTCTTACCACTTTCCGCGATCTTCCATCATGTTCTCTAATTCTTGATACGTCACGACTCCCATTTTACTAATATTACAACTGTGAATATTTGTAAAGACATTTGGATATTTACTATTCGCTCAACAAAGAATAAAAAACGAAATTGATGACGTATGGTGTTATTATAATTCACGCAGGCAAAGCTTGCAAATATATATATGTATATTTGTGTTATTGATAGTTATTGTTTCTTCAACAGGGACGTGAAGCCACAGAATCTACTAATAAGCTCGCACGGAGAACTGAAACTGGCCGACTTTGGACTAGCCAGGGCCAAGTCGGTGCCAAGCCACACGTATTCACACGAAGTTGTCACACTGTGGTATAGACCTCCAGGTTAGTGGTATTTTTCCTTTTTTTTTCAAGTAGGCCAGTAGATTATGCAACTAAAAAATATATTATTTTTTCAGTTAACTATTTTTATTGTTCAAACATTGTTACGATGCTCAATTGCATTCCCGAAGTATTAACTACTTTGTTCTTTTAGTTCAGATAAGTGGATTCTTCGGAGAAATATAAGTAGATACAAAAGTTTCTTTCGTAAAACTATTGTCAGAAATGGAGTACCTATTAAAGAGTCATTTTTAAAGACGATAAAGAATATCCAGGGATTGCGGACTCTTTCAATTTTATCTAAGTACTGATATATTTATAGAAATCGGATGCTTACAGTCGTATACAGAACCATTCGATTCAATGGTTACTCAATTTTATTGTCGATTAATCGATTAAAGTTATTCGAATGTAATAGTAAATTTATTACATTTGAATGATCGTTAAATATATTTTTGCTTCGCCACTACGTATGTACTCCGAAAGCGAGTTATTAACACTTCGATAATAAGGGTCAAGCAGCTCGTTATTGCCTATGGGGGAAATATGTGTGAAAACTCATTATATTGCTGTGTTATGTTGCTGTTTATAGTTCGTGACTAAAATACATAATTCTTACACCAATAACAACATATTTTTTAACAGCTATTTATTTTCATTATACTTAATCAAAGACCATAACTACATTTATTCAAAACATTTGTGAGACATTGTACATTTGAGATTTAGGTATAGATACTTACAAGCATATACGAGTATTGGCTATAATTACATTATATAGCCTTATAACTCTCACTTACTAGTAGACTATCACGGTTTCGCTCGGGTACTTATAACTTTATTATGAGTTTGGTATATCATAATCACAGATAACATAATATTACATACAGATACCCCATCCCATACAAGAAAATGGTTCCTTCCTAACTCGGGCTATTCTTCGGGCTATTTTATTTCGCCACCGTAGCCGCTAGATGTCGCTAGATCTGAAGCAGTTCGGATTACTAGTGGGTGCTTAGTAACAAAGCATGAAAATAGATGGCAGTCAATTCAGTCTACATGACATCTGTTTTGCAAAGATATGTATATAATAGATATGTAGGTAACTGTATCGTGTACCTCATTAGGGACGATTCAAGATTCAATGTAAATGTGTAGGTATAATATCGTTAGCCGACACTCTGCAGATATGGCTTATGTGCCAATGTATATACCTATTATGTTATGGTTTATTTTACATTCCATGCCTATTTTTTTGATATGTTGTAACGCGTCTGCGCTATACGTATAGCCTGATTTTGATACGTTTATACTCGTACGTATCAAAATCGGGCTATACGACTTTTTATTTCAATCGTTATATGTATGAGACTGATTTTAGCTACAATTAATTTACTGGTATATACCTCATGTATTTTACGATGTACCCCTCTTTTACCTAATAAGAATTCCGCTATATCTTATATATAAATTTTGTATCACAGTGTTAGTTGCCATATTTCTCCCACATTTTGATGAAATTTGATATGTATACTTGCCAGGTCTGAGGTAGGGTTGTTATCTATTTTTTATACCCCTAAGTCATAGGGGTGGCCTACCCCGAAAAAATATTTTTTTGTATTATGGACAATTTTTTATTTATTTATTAAGTTTACATTGAAAATACATACACGCCTAAATTTTCACCCGTCTTTCACCAACCCCTATTTTTAATAGCGATATTCTTACAAATATTATAAATGCTAAAGTAACTCAGTCTGTCTGTTTGTCTCGCTTTCACGCCAAAACTACTGAACTGATTTAATTGAAATTTGGTAGACAGATAATGTAGACCCTGAGAAAGGCTACTTTTTAATGCGAAAAAGTATTGAAAGGGGAAATCAAAGGCTATATGAGGATATCGTAATTTTTAAAGTCAGATCTTGTAAGATTAAGTGAACAGGGTCGGTCTAGGTTTTTCATTATTAGAAATGTGTAACGGGGTAACACGTTATTTAGTGCGAAATTGTGTATATTACAATAAAATTTAACGAGAAAATATTATAATGATGTCACTGGGACACTCATTGCCTTACTACTATATCGTCCGTTAGTCGCGAACTTTCTGGAAACACGAGAGGCGCGCTCCTATTGGTCGGTCGGCGCGGTTACCGCGCGTAGATGAGTAGATGAGGTAGACGAGTCTCACGGCGCCGCAGCGTAAGTACTTACTATACATAGGTACGTAGTATACATATGGGTGTTACAAATGTTTTTATTACGAGTAATATTACTCTGTTATCTAAGCAAGTAATGTGTGCTTATTTTGAACTTGATAACATTCTGAATTACTCGTATATCTTTCAATATCTTTAGCGGTATAAAACAGGTTATGTACTACTACTAGTATTGTTATTGAGGGATAAAGTTGATGAACAAAAATAAAACAGTATTCGTATTAAAAATATATTCATCTAATATTTTTGGCATTATTTTTAAGTTTCTTCCAAATACAAGGGGTCTGACATAGGGTGTTATGTACCTACATTAAAAGATACTTTTTGAAATGTATGAAATGTATGTACCTACATAAAAAGTTCATTTTTGAAATGTATAAAATGTATGAAAGAAATGTATGTACCTACATTAAAAGATAATTTTTGACATGTATGAAATGTATGTACCTACATAAAAAGTTCATTATTGAAATGTATGAAAGAAATGTATGTATGTACCTACATTAGAAGATAATTTTTGACATGTATGAAATGTATGTACCTACATTAAAATATAATTTTTTAAATGTATGAGATGTATGAAAGAAATGTATGTACCTACATAAAAAGTTCATTTTTGAAATGTATGAAAGAAATGTATGTACCTACATTAAAAGATAATTTTTGACATGTATGAAATGTATGAAAGAAATGTATGTACCTACATTAAAATATAATTTTTGAAATGTATGCACCGTACAATAACAATACACGTTAAACATCATACCACAGAGTCATACGCAAGTTAAAAACAAACTGCTATGATATTAATGAGAAAGGAAAATCAACTTTATGGTATTCGAGTTAGGGTCGATTTCTCTCTTTTTTTTAATACTATTTTAATCTTACCAGTTGCCAGTATTCGAAGACAGCTACGATTCGTACTCGATATTTTAAATTATTATGTAATCGATTTTTTAGTACAAATGTAAATAACCAACGACACTAATAATGTACTACTATATTCCGTTCTTTGAAACGGAACACTGCTATAATACAAAATAATGAAAATTTACTGTTCACAACGACTCATTAAAAGCATCATCGAATAATGCGCTGTAATAAAATCCTGTTATCGATTATTAAAAAAAATCGATAATACATGTATTTATTTTTAATATGACAACACTTCATACATAAGTATTATTGGAAATAGTATTACTTGCTTGTTCGGCTATTTTTAATTTACTTAAAAATTTTTTATATGTTTAATTTACAATAATAATATATTAAGTGCTTATTATTGGAAAATATAAAAAAGACATTTAATTAGGCCGATACAAATGACGACAATGCCATCTATGAAAGCATTTTGAAAACATTGAGCCCCATATTAGCACTGATTAAAGTGTAATTAAGTACTGGAAAATAACAAAATGAGTAAATATATGAAAATTACTTTTCTAAACGCATTATTTAATTTTAACATGTATATATAACTTTTTAAAAATTGATTAAACATTTTTGAAAACACAGTTTTGTTTTTTAAAACGTTTGCAAAACTATGAAGAATTCCATCGATACCAATCACGCCATCTATATGCAACTTTTAGCAATAATAATGGCTACTTCCTCATTGAGTGCCACTGATCATAATACATAGTTTATATTACTCTGGAATAACGTTTGCTGGAAGTTTAGTTTCTTCATAACGGACTCTGCACTCTGCTCTCTCTTTATAATATTACTAACTACCCACACAGGCTTAGTACGGGTGTACATGTCTTATACATATAAGCCTTTCTCTTGAATCACTCTATCTACAGCTACAACAGCATTAAAATCCGTTGTGTAGTTTAAAAGATGTAATCTAACAGACAGCGGAAGGGACTTCACTTTATACTATTTAAAGATTAAAATTAATATAATTAAAGAAATGCAGAGCCACAGTTTCTTCCCACTTCTTCTTAATTGAATCTGTATACTAAACTGGGCGGTAGAACATTTTTTTTATAGAATTTTATAATTTTGTAAAATTTTGTAGAATCAAATTTTACATCTATAAGCGGCTAAAATGTCCTACATTAATAAATGATTTATATTTTGTTTTTGATATTAGAAAAACCAGATCAATATTACAAACCAGACAAATAGATAAAACTTTTTCATAATGCCCAATCTATTCTAATCTATTAAATTGATCTAAAATAAAATGCATTGTTATTTTTGATAATCTAATCGTATCTACAACAACAAGCTTTTTAATTTTTAATGTAAGCTAATAATAAAAATTTGTCACATTGTCCATACAGATGTGTTGTTAGGCAGCACAGAGTACTCGACGTCACTGGACATGTGGGGCGTAGGGTGCATATTCGTCGAGATGTTGTGCGGGGTGCCCACCTTCCCCGGTGTAAGGGATACGCACGACCAGCTCGACAAAATATTCAAGGTGAGATATTATGATTAACTAACTACTACCAACCATTCGTTTGCTTTTTTTTCAGGCACCATATAACATATATCCAACCTTGTTATATTTTAATACATTAATTAAGAAATACATTTAATAGAATGTCGGCCTCGGTGTTCTAGCGGTTTAGCACGCCGCCTTACTTCCAATAGTCGCGGGTTCGATTCCTCGCACGCTTTGTTTGTATCGGTTTGGGTGTCTTCTATGTGTTTATTTACGAAAAAAATACAAGATATATGTATGTTACGAAAATAGTGACATAGGTAAGTCGTTTCTACAATAACAATCAACAGATGATTAATAAATGACGACTATAGTCTATAAAATGTATGAATAAAACCATAGTCCTCATGATATAATTTACCTTCACTTTAAATTTCATAAGAATCCATTCATCCGTAGTAATTCATTAGTAGTGAAAATGTAACAAAAAGATACATTTTCTAATTTATAATATTAGTATGAATTTTTATGGAATGACGACAAACGTTATAGAAGATAGATGCAATTGTTTGATGTCTGCCAGAACAAAAAAAATTTATTAAAATTAATAAGTAGCTTGTGAGAATAAGTCCATACAGTTTTATATTTAAACTAGGGTTATTAGAGAGTTAGCGTTTTATGAAGAAAGAGGTAAAATTGCAAGAGAAGAATAAATATTTGCTTCCGTTGCTACGCGTATTTTCGCGCATAGCACATGTTGTTTATGTGAAAAAATTGTTATTCATGCAAATGTCGACTCGATGTTTATAAAACACAGTTTATTTTCTTTATTTCAATGCAATATGCGCTCAAAACTCTCCAACACGCGTAATTTCGCGCCGTTTGATGTATTGTACATTAACTTGCAGCGTATAAATTGTAGGTCACTTTAGTATTTATAAATAGTAACATTACATATAGTTTTAGTAATATAATATATGTATATATATAAATTTTCAACCTTTCAATTAAATTCGCGTAAACACACACATACCTGAATTGACGTAGTCGACTTCGTTTGGTACAGCATGCACCATAACATAATAATCAGACTACAGCATGGGGTTTTTCATTAAGGGGTGTCACGTAAGAAACTTTAAGGTTTCTTTACCATTAAGGTTTCTTACTTGACACCCCTGGTGTTTCTGGCCCCCATAGGCTACGGTAACCATCAGATGGGCCATATGCCTATGATTTGCCACCTACATAGTATAAAGAAATGTTCCCAAATTGCTTACAGCAGAAGTATACAGTTCTGTTAATATATTACTTCTACATTAGTACACACACTGAAATAAATTTCCTTATCGCAATAAACGGTCACAATCGGCTCAAAGCACCGCGGCACCCTCTTTAACAAAAAATGCCGGGGCGATCATCGTGGATTGAGATATCTGTATATCGGCATGGGGTAAGATTGCTACTGCAAAAGGGGCATTAAAGAACTTGAATGCGATGAAACGATTCATTAATAAATTTATTTGCTCATGTCTGATTATAATATCTAAGTTTCACGAGTAAACTTACTTTCATTGTAGTTACTTGGCAAGTTGAATTTTGACGTGAAATCGGATTCCAATCAAATATATTTAATAAAATAAAATAATTCTTTATATTGATTTATTAACAATAGTAATAGTAAATATTCATCCCAGTAAAACAACACGAAAAGCCGCAACACTGAATACCTGTCGCATTACAATAAAATTTTTGACTTCCTCAATAATAACACGTTCACATAGCATAACCTCTTCCACGCTTGGCTAAGGCCCGTGTGGGTGAGTATCACATTTTAAACAAGAAAACAAACATAAAATAATAATAATAACCCTGGACAATTTGCACAGCATCATACGGACTCAAGCTAAGCAGAGCTTATGTTATCAGTACTAGACAACTTATAGAAATACTTGGATACATTTTCGTTTGTAAACATACATAATAATAATAATAAAAACAACAGATACAAACGATCTTACTCATTAATGAAAATGTTTGGATTTATGTATGTTAGTCTGGTATTTATAATATGGACCTAGTAGCTTGAAATAAATAAAATAAATGTTTCAACGTGCGAGGAATCGAATCCGCGACCATCGGATGTAAAGCGAAGTACTAAATAGCGGTTTACAACAAACGAGGCGGCCATGATATAAACGATATTATAGATTTCACCGAAGTGAACTAAATTTCAATTCTATCATGAAATTGTTAATCAGTTTCATGATAAGATTGAAATTTAGTTCTCTCTATTACGAAATTGGTTTCAAGAAATTATATCGTATGCTGTATAAAACTAGTTTCCTTATGTAAATTTGAGTTTATCTTAAATGGGATAGTTGCCTACCATATATTACATTATAAATAACATACATATGTAGATATACAAGAACGTATTGTACCTGCATTATTATTATATTTCTACTGGTTGATACGCGCTTTGTCTGCATCACACTTACTTGACATTATCATTATATTTCGCCCAATTTACTTAATATATTTTACTTAATAAATTATTGCCTATATATTATTCTGATGACAAACATCTATTCATCTATCCATACTCACAAACTTTCGCATTTATACACGTACTAGATGTGCCTGCGGTTTCACACGCATGAAATTCATAGGCTATGTGTTATTTTGAGTCTAAAACTTTACAATAATATAAGCTATATTATTATTAATTATCATTAAAATCCAATCAGTTGATGTAATTGTGATTGCTTGAAATGTACCAAACATCTATCCATTCATACTCACTAACGTTTATAATATTAGTTAGAATCTTGGTAGAGATACGATGTTAGGTATGAACATACATATATTCACCCCCACCGTCTACAGGTGGTCGGAACACCGACGGAAGAAAGTTGGTCAGGCGTGAGCCGCCTCCCGGGGTTACGGACACACGTGTCCCGATGGGGCTCGTGCCCGGCTCGCCCACTAGGCTCGGCGTTCCCGAGGCTAAGAGACGGTGGCCGGGATGCTGAACGGCTAGCCGCCTCGTTGTTACAACCTGACCCGTGCCGCCGGCTATCCGCCGACCGGGCGTTACACCACGTGTACTTCGCACCACTGCCACCGCGGCTCCGAGAGCTGCCTGATGGTGAGTTTTTTTTATTATAGGTTCACCTGATTGACCTAAATTTTTTCTAAAGTAACTGTGTGATGAAGTCGAAAATGTCTTTTACCTTTCGCTTTAATTTATTTTTCTTTTTGTTGATATGTTATTATTGAATATTTCCATGCACCCAGGAATTCTTAATTTCGACAAAATGCTATATTGTTTATAATTAATAAATAAACAATGACTAGAACAAAAACGAATCCTTAGAAACTCAGAGATTCGTAATTATAGAACGGTTTTCCTTTTGTAACTGCCGAAAAAAGGAATATATCCTCACTATTTCAGACATCATGTTTATATGAAAAGTAACAGAGATATAGAATTATTATGTCATAACATATCGCGCGTTAAATTTAGTAGCGGGGAATAGAAATTGTTCTCTTACATTTTATGTAAGAAGGAGGTTATTCATACGGCCACCATTTAATAGCTAAACAGTAATATATTAAATAAAGTAATAGCTAAAGAATATAAGCAATATGTTTTCATTGTTGCAGAGGTGTCAATATTCACAGTGGAAGGCGTTTGCATGCACCCGGAAACGCGACACGCCGCCATCAAGTGAGCGACCCACCGACGCACATACCTTAGTTGAATATATTACAATTCGTTTGTCTGCATTCGCAGCTCGCCGGTCAGTCGCACCGATCAACTAGTCGGTCGTATCGACCAACCCACTGATCGTCTCGACCAATCACGTGGTCGCCCTGATAAATCAACTGATCGAAGTGACCAAGGTCGTAATGTCCAACCAGCTGGTCGATACGATCAATTTGCTGATCACGTAGATCTAATCCATGGTCGCGCTGATCATAAGGTAGTACCGACCGATAACACTCTGTGTACAGAGAGCGAGCTTTATCCGATAGTTATAATAGTATGTTTCAATTCCTATAGTTTTAATGTATTGAAATCTGGTTGACTCGTTTTGGTGGACCAAAATTTCGTGATAGTTCTCTCGTCTAGTTTAAAATTTTTCGAACGGGCATCGAATGCCAGCGACAGTATTCGTTTTATTTCTATACCTTATTATTTGTCCATCCGTCGATTGCTATGTCGACACGATAATTAAGCGCTTGCTAGCTTCTAACGGAATATCCATCCATATAATTCAATTATTCTATGGTGACAAGGTAAACTGATAGGTATCGAGTGTACGAATTATATATGTATAAATATATAACAGAGCAGTGTGCCATGTATATCTATAATTGAGAAGAGTATGACGTGTTATTTTAAAAGATTTTTATGCTGGATATATTATGCTCATAATTTGGTAAAAATGTTGAAGATGTTTATTTATATTTATTAAGGGATAATTGTCGACGATGTTAACTCTAATGCAGTCTTATGAAAATATACGGTTTATGAAGCACTTAACTACGAGCCTGTGAATACCGATATTAATTTTGCGTTTCGATTTATTAACGGCGTATACACGAGCGGCAGCAGGCTCGTAGTATGGTGCTACCAATTCATGGAATTCACCTCAATCTTATGCACACATTCCTTCCACGGTGCTCAAATAGTAATGTTAGGGTGGCGAGGAGATGTGTGGGCAGTATATATTGCTAGTACCTAAAAGCACACGCCGCTATAGCTTCTCACATAGCGACACGCATTATAATACAAGATCCCACTACACTATTATCACGTTCGTTAGATTTTTTTTCAAATCAGTATTCATTATCCAAACAAAAATCTGAAGCTAACTTATATATTATATGGTAAGATGCATTTTTTCGTTATTATATAAAAAGGTTAATTATTGAAAGGCAACGACTAGATTACTCGCATATATAAATAATTTAATAGTCAATTATACAGATGCATATTCTTGTATTATTTATAATATTATCAATATAAATTTCATATTGTATTTTCATAAAAAAATCTCATGAACATAGTAAACGCGTAATGGGATCTTAGCCTATTAGCAGTTGTTAGCTACAGCATCGGCTGTTTCCAGTGATACAAGCGAATTGACAGGAGAAATATTACCAAAATTTATTTAATAACGTCTATCAGATCTCAAATATATAAAGTGTGGGACCGTCCTACTGTAAATTGTATCGTGATAGGAAATTCGATTCGAGAACTATAATAAAATTTAATTCTTCGTGGCTGTATGAGAGAAGCGTAGATTAGATGGGAGTAGATTCCGTCTAGACTAAAACACTAGTGAAATTAATCAGTTTAGACGAATTTTAGTGGTCCCTCACAATGTAAGTTTAGGAGTGCATTGTAATGTAGCGTCCGGCGCATTGGCAACTTGTATAGAGAATATATTCCCTCTTTTAACTCGTTTAGTGTAATTCCCCTATTACTAGTAAATGTCTGTGATTCGAACATAGTGTTAGGTCCAATCGAAACGTAAACACCAATTTGTGCCAACGATTAAAATAGTAGATTAACTAAAACAAAAATTGTAGTATTTCATTATATTCAGTAATAAATAGACATATCTTTCAATCTTTTGCAATATCTTGTACTATTTATGGCAATATAGTAAAATCTAAAATTGAATCCCTTTCACTTTGTAGTACGATTGTGCTCTCGATATTCTATTCTGAAAATAACCGCTCCCGAAATATATTTACTTTCCAATTCCAATGTGTAGCGAAACCTCTGAAATAGATCACAGTAAAAGCAGAATGCTGGCTGATAGCATTTAGTAATAAATTCTCAATTCACGTTGAATCTTTTCAACTTGCTTTTCAAGCTGCTTTGAGTGGTTTATGTAAGTACAAGATGTCATATTACGTCTAACTTATCGCAATTTGGAACTTACTGCCACTATGCAATGTAGGATTTTGATAAGACAAAAATATGAATTATTAGGTAAAGTCGAGTTGTCAGTGTGCGCGGAGAATACTAGTGAGTGTAGATCTACTTAGTGTAGTAAAGCGTGTACCGAGCTTTAGATACGTTCATGTAACGAGAGCGGCATTGGACGATGCGAAGTTACGGAAATAATAGGTATAAGGGTGCGCGTACACGGGTAATTGAATTGCACATACCTGGGCAGTATTCGTAATTACATCACAACTGTATCAAGGTATATACTGCGGTACTAAGTTATTTGTTGCTAGTTTAAATTTTTAAGCAATAATTGCCCGACAATAGTTGCTCAATAAATTAAGTACACCATATTGCTAAGTAATGGTACGTTGGTCTATCTAGCAACGGATGCGAAATTTGGTTTCGCTGTATATTCCTTGATGAAGTCACAAACATTTTTTAGAATAGACAATTCCCCGTGCACCGTGGACTATAAGGTATGGTCACAAAAAGGCCATTGCCGCTCTCGTACGTAGTAATAATTCGGCTCCGAACACCAAAATAGTACGTAAATTGTATAGATCGTGAAACGCAATATTTACCGTGTACATGATTTGTTGAATTTTGTCTATGTGTAATTTAAGTTAGGGCACCGATGGCGGCGAACGATAGCGAGAGAGACTTTAATGGGGACATTTTTATATATTATAGCTAGAATTAATTAATTAATTAGAAGGTGGTCCCATCTTATTTATAATAACTACGACCTCATAAATAAAATAAAATAAAAAATAACTTAAATGAATAGGACAAATATTTCAATCAATCGATTATTAGAGACGACGTTATATAAATAAGGGGATTAGATATATATAGAAATACTGAAGCAATTGTTAAAAGACATTGACATTATAATTATTATTTTATAAGTTAACCTCTCTACGTCTGTAATATTTAGTTTTGATAAATTGCATTTAAAGACAAAATCGCTCTGACTATCGTTCCGTGACCGCTTATAAAGGAGCCCTACAATTAGGGAGTGAGGCAAAGTTAATAATTCACCCGTTGAGTGAGGCACAGAGCGCACCTCGTGCGTATGTAACATATAAATGATACGAGATTACGTGAGCATTTATAAATGAGAATAGTGAAAATTCTATTGTATACATAATTTGCATTTGTATAATGAAGAACTGATGTTATTGTCTACGTTTGCTACATTAGAGTTACGATGGAACGAATTCTGTAAATAATTATGCAGTTAATTTACTTGGATCACTTCTACCGTAGCGGGATTTTCGATATCCGTAATCAAATTGATTGAACTACATTTAATAATTGAATGGTCTCGTCTAATGACGATTTAATACACACGTTCGATTCTAATTGTTGTGAAACTCTTCAGACCTTGATATAACGATTAGACGAGACATAAATAATGCATGCTAATGATTTTTGAGTCCCGCTACTGTAAATCTGGCCTCACATCATTAGGTTCGGTCGGACGATTGTTCTATACGGCTGTCTTTGTTTCGCGTATTCAGTCCTACGGCCCGCCATCTTTGGAAATGCGCCAATAGGAACTGTCGTGTGACTATAGCCCGGCTGAACCTAATTATGTGACACCCGGTTAAAATTTGACGTTTCTTAGTTTCTACAATCCTACGAGTTGCCATTGCTATTTCTGTGGCTTCCGAAATATACGGGAGTTATGAGATTTATTTCATTACGTTTAATTGTTATTTATAAGTTGTATTAACTATTATTTTACGGAATTTCTGCTGATCAAGTAATGATTTTTTATTATTTTCTAATGTATTAAACAATGTGCTTTTACTCGTTCAAAAGAATGTAAATACGATATTTGAACTGATAATAATAAAAGTTTTTATTTCTTAATGAAAAAATGTGTTTTATTCACTCTCGCATACAGTAGACATAATGAAGGTGTTATGAAATTCTACATTGAAAGTTTGACAACAATATTTTTTTAGGCGTTTTAAACAGGTCCCGCTTTGATCGACAGATGCGTGTGTAGGGCGAACTTTACCTATGTACATAATAATATACTTTTTTGTCCAAGGAGGACAAAACTTTCCTTTACGCGTGTCACGCACTACATGGAATACCTATATCTATCTTTCATATAATTCCATACTTTGAAAAAGGAAAATTAACGCCGAGGAATCTATGTTAGACATATATCTAGGTTTAAAATCTGCTATTTCCAAGGAATATATTATAAATAGATATACTGAACTTTCAGATATCTCAAGTTGGTTCGTGATGCTTGATGAAGACGTAACGATACAAGGTAATCATATTGCATATAATTTCTGTACGTATAATTACAAGGTAGGTAGTTATGTCATCTTATACCTCCAGAATGGCAACAAGAAGGATACTATGGGCTATACATGTAAACTTGTATCTATGTTGCTATTCATGTATATACGCGACGGCAAATTAGGTAATTAGGCCGTCAGCTTTTTGTATTATCCTTTGATTAATACGTATACGATTATTCGAAAATTCAGTTAGAAATATTTATTTACTTGGAAATCGAACCTACCAGCCATCGTTGTTAAATAAACATCTATCAACGTATTGAATAATTTATTTGAAATGTCGCTTAGCTGCTCGTATTTCGACGACGAGAACCATTGGAATTCCTGTATAATCTATATATAGAGTACCTATTTTCCATTTATAGAAGGATACATTTCTAGGACGGACGGATCGTAGCCGCTAATTATAAATTGTGTATGTATTAGGATTAGTTAAGGCAGTTTACGATAGCAGAGTCGGCTATGTTTTTTTTATCCAATTAGAATGCCAAACAATCTGACAGCCCACCTAATAGTAAGTGGTAAACATCAACTATATAGGTATACAGGGGTCGCACCTCGTTTATGTGGATGATATAGCAATGGTGCACCGGCCTACGCTGACGGTATACGCCGACAGGACACTAGTGGAGGATGATGATAAAGTCAGGCCAGTTAGCCCATCGTGGCAAATTTAGCAACAATGACTTGAGTTAATTTCAAGATGGCACCAGATGGAATATCTACCCATGAAATTGAACCAATTTCAGGAAGAAACAAAATGGAAATGTGATAAAATTAATTGTTGTTTAACCTGCAGACTTTGATTTGAACTCTGTAGAATTTTGTTTATTTATGACCCGCCTTGTGGAATGAAAGTATTTAGTAACAAAGACGCAAACGCCCTAATATGACTGTATTATTAAAACATTGTGTTTCACTATCTAGAATATGATTTTATAACTCATCCATTAATTATATTTAGTTTTCGGAAATAAATTGTGTCTTCTTGAGACTTATCAGTCCTTTATCCCAGGTAGATTTTTCCTTGGACAATTTTCATTCGTGATACCGTAAAATGCCTTTTTGCGGAGATTTCTTGAGCCCAAATTGATATCATTAATCCCTAATTCTCTCGGCTGAAAATTACCTCACAAACGGTATTATGTATATAATTTCCTGGAAAATTATCCTTACCTACCTCTATAAATTTACCAGGCATGAAATTCTTTTGAACCCTCTGCTTCTTAGTAGGTAGATCAAGGTACAATTGCAATTGCTAACAGATATCTACGTAACAGAATTAAAACAATTCCTGAAAATTGCTTAAGTTCCTAAATAATCCTAAGCTACTAAATAGACGTAAACTATTTTGTTGTGTACATTATTAGTTTTTTAGCACATAGTTAATAATTATCACCGCTAATGTCATCACCTACATTAGTTTTGGACTCAAACTTTTTCAATTATGGACACCAGTCGTTAAAAAACAAACATTAGTATAACACTGTAGTCAACGCAACTTTTTAAAAGTCCTATTCATATTGCAGCTTATAATACAGAGAAAATAATAGTTTTACCTTATACTACGGACGCTCCCCGCCTTCGCCCGGGTGCTCATAACTTTGTAAGTTTTGTATATATTAGCATAATATATGGCCTATATCACTCCGGATCTAAATCGGTGCAGTGGTTCTGAAGATTAATTTCCTCATAACAAAATCCGCGCACTATCTCACTGTCTTTATCATTATTACATAGTATAATATAAAGTCGCTATCTGTCCCTGTGTATGTTTAAATCTTTAAAACTACGCAACGGATTTTGAAGCCTTTTTTGAAATATATAAAGAGATTTTGGAGGAAGGTTTATATATACAATACATGTACACCCCTGCGAAGCCGGTGAGAGTAGCAAGTAATATTATAAATAACGGTAACTGTTTCATTACAAAATACAATAAATATTTTAATCGTAAAATGTTATTTGTGCATTAGATATAACATTTTATTGGATATAATACATGTAATTGCTTTTGCGTCTCTAAAGACATAAAAATAAAGTATTATATATATATCTGTGTGAAATGGCCTTAAATTTTTAATTTTCAAATCTATTTGTACATATATTTATGCCTAAATTCCTAAACATACAAGAATTATAGTATACATCACCTGTAATCGCCCAATATTACTAGCATTAGGATTGTAATGAAATTCATATAGATGAAGAACATGTAATAATGCATAAATATGAAGGGTAGAATAAGCATTTCATATGAGGGTTACCGAAGAACGTCTGAAATACCCAAATGAAGAGAGCCGTGAAATTCGACCTCCTGGCGTCGAGCCAACAGCAGCTCTATGAATCTCCCACTAAACTGGTTCTGGCCAAATGGCATCACATGAAAGACGTAATCGCGTAATTCTCTTTGCTACATGAAATATTTTGAACTCGAAGTAACTGTTTATTTTGTGGTCATACAATGTATCTTATGTAGATATTTCTATATAGGTAGATGAATTGATTATTTGCACCTTCCGTACACACATACAACAAAATAATTGATGTGAATACAAACCGCCTAGGTCCCTACAACTACCTACTTGTTACATAATGGGCATGGATACAGCGATTGTTCTTGGAAAGTATGTCCCAATACTTTCCAACAGTTGTTGACTCAAAAGGACGGCATCCAAGAGGTACGAGAACAGAGGATGAGAGGACGACGTATAAGTCGCATCGATCGAGATTTTTAATTGTAATTAGTAGGTATCAAATAAGTTAATTGAATTTTCTTTAGCTTTTAAAAGCCATCATGGACATTATCATAGTTTCAATCATCGTTGTTTTTTTATCTTATTATTTTCATTACATGATAATTACATATCGATTACACTACATATGAATTTTATTATTCATTTTACATCACGGAAACACTAACTAAAAATTAAAATTTAAAAAATGTATACATGTGTGTGTGTGTGTGTGATATGTGAACAGTTTACGATAATCATCGTTAAATAAATTGTATAATCGATACATACCTAATAATCATGCACCATTAATCATGCTGTCTAATAGTTATTGATTCTTTAGTAGTTAGAAACGACAAGATGTAAGTATATACAGTAGCCAGCACTAATATATAAGTACTTTACTTGCAATAGTCGAAATGTCGTTAGTGTAAGAAAGTTTTGTTTCTGTGACATTTTTAGAATTTCTTAGTAAACGGCTAAGTTATAGAGACCTATTGTCAATATTTCACGTTAACAATAAGCCTAGTCAATCAGGTGTTCTGAAGGACTGATTTTACAGATTTGTTGTCTGCTAAAGGCTCTATATTCTTTCATGTAATTTAGATAGCAAACAAGCTGATCGATTACCTACCCATAACACAAGGTCTGTATATCTTGGGACTAGGTGCCATCGTGTAAATTATCTAGGAGTATATTATTATTTTCACTGTTGTCTCATTTTCTCAGTTTTTGCTGGTTTTTAGGCTTTGTGTCGTATACCACCACCATTATTTTTATTAACTTTAATGTAGTATATTTATCTCGGTAGTATATTACAAAAGCTGATAAAATCAGATCAGTTAGCCCACCATAGCACAGAGTGGATTTCACTAGGAATTGCGGTTTTCACGGACCACTATTTGGAGATACACTAATAATAGAAACATACATTGCTAAAAAAGGGGCTAAATAGTCTCTATTACTAACAATCCCATTTCACCTCTACTGTCAACACTTCATAATCAAACATTAAAGCGGAGTGCAAACGAAGGATTAATTGCGAGAGACTTGAAGTGTAAGTTGGCATCAATCAAAAGTCGCAAGAAGTTGAGAAATGATATTCCACCCTAATTATCTCCCCTCATAATCCGTGAAACAAGTCGGGTGGAATTTGTCCGTTGTAAAACGATAAAATGAATTTGGGAAACATTATTTTATTTTAATGTTTTACGATCTACCTACGTAGATATAAAAAGTGTAAAGTGACAATAATAAATTTATTTCTAATAGATTTTGGGTACATACATATATGATGTTGTACAAAAACATGGCCCTTGCAAAATCTGCTTATATCTACAACAAATAACAAACTTTACATTTACAAAATAATATATACATACAAATCTTAAAGTTAAATAAAGTATGGATTGTTTATATAATTATGAATTATTGTATGTGAATCTGTTAAATGCTGTTTTTGTTATATACACTTAAATACTATTTAAATTTATTTTAATCAGTATAAAAGACTAAAAAATATTGTATATATTAACTTAAAAAACATAATTTTTTTAGGAACACAATTTATCCAACAGTAGCAACAGCACATACCAAACTTTGACTGTAACAGCACGTTATTTTTTATTGATTGTAATTGTATAATATAAATGGAAATCAATTTTTTATAATACATAGTTTTAAACAAGTAATGAGACTGTAATAAAGAGCAGTTTTCTTTTTTGAAGTCAGTTGAATGTATTATCTTCAAATTTCTACTATTACAGCGAGAAGTTTCTCAAGCGCTCTGCTACAGATTAAATAATATAACTACGTTCTACATTTTGCGTTCAGAGTTCAATGTTCGTATTGATGTCAGAAGTAACGCAAACGCAGTGGGACCGCAGCGGTCAGCGAGAACGCTTATGTTAAGAGCGTTCAATAGCTCTAATTCAAATATGGCCTACACAATGAATAAGCAGGAGAAATTAATTGAATTAGTTAAACAAAGACCTATGTTATACGATTTACGTGATGCTAATAATAAAAATCGTAGTAGAAAAGCAAAAGCGTGGCTTGAAATTGCGAAAGAAATGGGCTCGAACGATGGTAAGAGTTGATAATATATAAAACTGTGATGTAAATCGTCCGAACCTTATTTTTGTATCGTAATTGATTGGCCGCCATGAAAATAGCGCCAAAATGATATTTTTATTGTATAACAGTCAAATTGAATTTACAGGCTTTATATGTAAATAGCTGAAGCTGAAATCGCTTTATTTTCAATATTAATAGGTATATATTATATTGACGGCCTTGGTGGTCTATTGGTTTAGCACACCGCTTTACTTCCGATGGTCGCAACTTCGGTTCCTGGCACTGCACAAAAATTTATATTCATGAGTATGATTGTATCGGCCTGGGTGTTTTCTATGTATATATTTACGAAAAAAAATCTATGTATTTGTATCAGTTATCTAGTACCCATAAAACAAGCTTTAACTAGCTTAACTTTGGTCTAGACGCCGCTGTGCTTATTGGCCTAAGATTATAGATTATTTATAGATATGTACATCTACTTTACAGAATTTGAGTAGATATTCGTGTAATTTGTTTGTGCCATATAAAGACAAAGATTTGACTCACACGAACTGATCAGTAAGATTAATAGATGTCAACATTATGTATTATGTGAGTAGGAACTATGTAGTTATACTGTGGTATACTTAGCTGCTTACAAGCTGAAAATGAAATTACGGGGACAAGATCTAATAACATTGTGAATAAAAATACCTAGTCTTTTTATATATAATACAGAATACATCGCCATGTACATGTATAGGTACCTATACATATATCTGATTATCTATCAAACACATTGAAATTCATTTATTCCAAATAAATTATATGTTTTATTTAGGTTAAAAATAAAAATACATATTTATAAAAGACAAATACTTAAGTTTATTTAATTGCTTCTGCTGTGAGTGGATGTTAAAAAAGTATGAAATATGTAAGTTTTTATAAGTAACAGTCGCTGGACTTCTTAAAATATTATTTGCCTACATTGATAGGTAAAGCCAATGTTTTAGCTCTTAAACGAATAATTTTTATATTCAATCACTTTTATATTGATGTTTAATTTAATACTAACAAGTCAGTGTGCGTTAGGTCCCTCAAAGAGAAATGTAAGAACAATAGGGAAACTAAAACGTCAAACTCGATACATATATCTAATATTCAATTATTAATCACTCATACCATACTGTCAAGTCAATTATGTATATTGAGATTAATGTTTTCACTACTTATTCGTTTATATCAACCCTAGGTTCTCTGTGGCGCTACAAATGGAAGGGCTTGAAAGATAATTACACTAAGTATAAGAAATCTAATCAGACGTCAACCGGGCCGGGATATAAAAAATACAAAAATTGGCCCTGGGCCGAACACATGAAGTTTTTAGATAATTTCCATACAATGAAATGGTCAAAGGGAAACTGGACAAGCAGCCGGCATCAACGTGAAGAAACGTACAATAGTAATTCACATAATGTCGTTAATGTAGAAAATTCTACTGTTCAGGGTCTTGAGGATTCCCACAAGTTTTTGGAAAGTGTTGGCAGTTCAAGCATTAACAGTCAACTTCAAAGTCATTCACAATCTTCAGATGAGAGATATGGTGTAACAGAGAAATTGGACGGAACCGACTATTTTTTCTTAAGTTACTCTCAAACTTTTAAGAAATTGCCAAATAGAATGCAGACTACGTTGAAGTTGGAAATAGCGACGTTGTTTGCACGTTACGAGTCGATATTCGATGACGGAGAGCCTGCTGCAGGATCCTCGCATGCTATAGATCAAGAGCATGAGAATTGTGATCTGGAATCTCTAGGCGATCCTTTGACTGATGCTATCAAGCTTGAAATGCATTGAACCTATTTATTTGACGACATTTCCTATAACTTTAACTTTGTTGATAAATAATCTATAGCATATTATTATTAAATATCTACCTATAGCATATTATTATTAAATCTCACATGAACAATAATTAAATAATGAGCTAGTAATCTTATATAGGTACTTCGATGTTATATTTTCGATCTTAATGTTAGATACTGTATCTGTATTATTGTAAAGGAATTAAAAATCACTTCAACTTGCATTTATTTTCTGAATTAAAAATTAAAGTAATTAGATAATTTATAAACTTATTGTGTATATTTCATCCGGAAACACTAATGCCAAATTATTGTCGTCTAAAATTTTCGCTTAGTAATTTAAAAAAGTTATATTATACATATAACTGGTTTAGGTCTAATTAGTTCTAACACACTTTACTGAATGTCGGTTATAATGTGGGGTTATAGAAACATTACACGTCGATGCTTCTTCCACGTCCTTACTCGCCCCCTAGTAGCCACATACATACGTACATATGGTATAACACGACTAATTCTCACGGCTTTGCGTGTAACCATTAGCTCTAGTTCCGGTGAGAATTTCAAAATATATCTTTTAAATGCTGACTTATTATGATATATTACAATATTTTTTAGGGGGAATAGAAGGGATTGTTAATAATGGGGATTAGTGATACCATTCGTAGCAATATAGTGTATAATACGAAGGACTTCCAGATAATGTCCTTTGGATGACTAATTGGTTTAACTTAATATTCTAATATAGGTACCATCCCGGATCAGGCGGGAAAGTATTTTATAATATTTCATAAAAAAATTGTTTTCTGTACGTTAATTAACGTCAGTGAATCAATCAATATAACATATTAATCTACAACGCACTCGTAGATATATGTTATGACTATCTACCTATCTTATACAAGTTCAGAACCTTGTTCAACAAAAATTTATGAGGAAACTAATAGACGAGAAGTGTGTAATATTGATGGTATGAACTACCAAATTATTATTAATATTGCTTCTGAACACGCGAAAACTAAATTAGGCTGTGCAAAGACGCGTTTTCTTCTTTCCGCTTTATTTACGATTTATTGCAATGTGTAAGTAAGATACGTTAGGCAGAATTTATAGTTATAATTATATAGATGTCACATACACTTTGACCATTTTTATAATTTATTTTTAAAATTATATTCTATTGACTATTGTTTATAGTCTACTTTTTACTACGTTATAATTATTTACTATCTTTAACTATTGTTTTCTGCCATACCATATCAAATACAGTCCCAATTATATTTATTTATTTATTTAAACTTTATTGACCAGTAAATTATGGTACAAACGGCGGACTTAATGCTATAGGCATTCTCTACCAGTCAACCTTCAGGAAGTGCAGAAATACTTGATGGTGGCTTAACATTAATTATATAAATAACATATATACAAATATTAGACTAAACTAAAACTAAACAAGAATAGAATACACACGAATATTCTGTTAGGGCGTTCTTCAAAATTGCCGGTCACTATAATGAAGTTATCAATCGATCTTCATCGAACTATTAGATCGACGAATATTTAGATCAAATTGTCAAAGTAGTTATTTATATAAATTATAGTTACTTCGAAACTGTGGAATATTGTAATTAAGCAATTACTCTGTACTAATTGATGGCGAACTCAATTATAAGGCAATCCACTCAAACTTCAGACCCCCGAACACTTGCAATAAAATTTTAATTAGCCAACGCCCAACATTTGGCCAAGGTTTGTAATAAGAAGACGTAGATGGTTTCCAGCTGGCGAAATTAAGTCGCTTATTGTCTTTAGATAAGAGAACAGTTCTATAAAAAAATCACAATTTATTATAGTTTGTTACTATTATGTTCAATTCGCCAGTAATTGATATAATTAATCAAATTAAGTTCAGAATCGACCTGCTAAGAACGTCGTAGCTATGCAGATAAGGAGAGACCGAAGGTTTTTATCTATAATTTGTATATTTAAATATATATTTATTTAATTATTAATTTTACATTTATTTTAGACACATCGTATTTATCGTCATTCGTATCTAAAAGAATTGTAAAATATTAAATTAAAATACTGAAATCACACCTTTGTATTGATGTTACATTTTTTTAATATTTTACAATTTCAGTATTTGGACGTACAAAACTAGTTATAAAAACTCTATATATAGTTATAAGGTATGTAATAGTGATTAATGGAATCTACAAAGCACTATATAGGCAATCTATATCATAGTTATTTGTTGTAGTAGATCTGACATATTTCTATTATTAACAAACTATTCATTAACATAGTTTAATGAGTCTAACAGTGAAATTATTGTGTATTCTGACTTATCAATTAAACTTATATATTACTAATACTTGCCTCAAGGTGTTAAGTCCGCCATATGTATATTTATTTGTGTATTTGTTAAATAAATAAAATATATTTTACTGTACAAAGTCATATGCGCCGCGTCTGTCCCAGCTATTTCAACAGTTAATGTGCTTGCTTTGTAAGCTGTGTGTCAGTTGAAGGGTGCACCATGTCAGCCTACATTGCAGGGTATGGAACAAGACATCTTAGTCTCCGGAATGATCAACAGAAGATGGATAACTACAAACAGCGTTGTACTTACCCATCATAATTGTTGTGATTGTAATGTATATAGGTAAAAGTGGCCACTTATCGTCAGGTAGGTCTTCAGCTTGTTTACCATCTAACTCAACAAAAAATATTCCGAGCAGGGTAAGTAACGCTTACAATACCAGGAACTGACATTATATTACCCCTCTATATGCCTATTATAGGCATCCATGTGTAGGTATGATACAGTAAACTGTCGTTATCAAGCAGACCCTTCATTTTATTTATTTATTTTGGCCCACTTAATATTATTTTATTACATTATTAACCCATATTCTATATATCTTGAGGATTAATATACTTATATAGAAAATAATAATTTTCCTTGTTCATCAACTTTCCATATATCTTTGTTCGTTTATTTCGGTCGCGTGTTAAATATTTTTTGTCGCAACAAACCAATATCATATGAAAATAGTGTAGAAATTCGCTATTCCGCCGAAATTTGCATAAAATATTTGCTTACGACCGTATCCGGACCCGGCCGCCTTCCCCGGAAATATAAAAACCCCTCATCGTCCGATGCGAATTGAAATAAAAAATACTTCCGCTACGTCCCATGACGTATTGACCTTTCCGGTACAAATAATTATGTTTAAAAAAACTCCAAAGGGATTTTCAATATTTCAACAGACACCAAATATTACTGTCAATACGTGTTAATGAATATTTTTGATTGAAAAGGGCATATTTTTGCAGGAAATCGAATTGAAATGAAATGAATGGATGTTTATTGCGAATATGGAGAAATGAATATGAGGTCTTCTGGCAATCTATGAATGCCTATTCGCTACGTTGAATAAAAAATATTTTGTCGCTCAAAGGAATCTTTTTAGAACTATTCAACTGTGAAAAATTGTTTGAGGATTTAATTTCGTTGATCGTGTGTGTGTGTGTTAAGTAAGTACTTAATGGTATGGTATGGTGGGTGTCATTCTTATTGTGATGAGTCTGCGTTCAGAATGAGTGATAGACTAAAAAAAGTGACCATTATATTAAGTTTATTTTAATAAAGATTATTTCTATTTCTATTTTAGAACTTATTGTAAACTATTAAGAAAGAGACATGGTCTTGGAATATTTATTAAATTCTCTTGAACCAATGTAGTCATTGGAATTAAAAAATTACTATTAAAAATGACCATATTAAGAGTAACTTTAAAACCTATCTGATTTAAATAGAATACTTAACATAAATTGAAGACATAGTTAGTGCCTAATGGTATGAAGAATACTGTGTACTTGCTAGCTATACCCGGTTTCACCCGCATGAAATTTATCTATAAGCTACGTTAATCATTAAACTCCTTTAGTAATTTTTGTGTGAGAGTCCATCTATCCATCAATAAGCACAAACTTTCAGTTTTTTAAATTAGTAAGATAATTTGAGGATTACGTTGAAATTAGTTGCACCGAAGCAAAGTTATAACTTTAATGATTTTTTCATTATTTTTTTATATTGTATGATAATAAAAATAATGCACCCGTTTACACTAACAGAATACGCTTGCTGGCTGGCTGGCTGAGCATATCCGGTCAGTCAGCCCTTTATGCAAGGCACAACAAGGTTGTAAGAGTGTTTTCTGGGGTTTAAATTATTATTCTCTTTGGTATATTATGAATAATCAGCAAGCCATTCATGATACATTATCACGAATGATAAGAGAAGCAATTATTTATTTGTTGCCATAATAAAAAATATAAAGTCAATGTCGCCAACACCCTTAGTAACAAATTCACTAGGAATTAACCACGACGTTTCCATTACTATCAATCCCCTCACCCTTTTACCAACCCCTGAAAGTTGTTATTACCTTAACCTTAACAAAACTAAGGAATTTATTTAATTTCATTACTTCACTTATAAAGTGGCTAAGCTAATGCGAGAATGAACGTAATTATTATTAATTAATGTTGGCAGTCCATTTTGGGACTCGACGAGATCCTAAAGCTTTCTACTAATCATACTAAGTGCTCGCTCAAACGGCAAGTTAACAAGAGCCTTCGCTACTCGTATAGCGTATAAATAAATCAACGAAACCCAAGTCATATTGCTACCCAATAAGATCCACTGTGTACATAAAATTACATAAATATTTTATTCTAGAATAGAAGGATCACCAGCGTGAGTGTAGGTACCAATTATCAATAGTTCTCAAGAGATTCGAAAGTTTTATTCGTCTTAGCTATTTGTCATATTAGACATGTTGGACAAAAAATTATTTTAAGGCACATTGGTTAGGACACTCGGCTGCACTCACTCTGTTCCTTACATTATCAAGAAAGTTACACTTTTCTTATTATTATAATCTTTGTAACGCATCATTCTGAACGTAGAGCTTTCTTCCCCTAATAAACTGGGCTAAGGTTTTGAGACATCAATATCCATTAGTTACCTTAAATATTAGTACATCTTATTAGTAATAGCTCTACAATGCGTTTGAGAATTATAATAAATGATATTATTAAAATACTCCAATGCACTTATATTTTCAATTGTTAGATTTATAT